GGTCTAAAAATGAAAACTAAAGATGAATTTTCATAGTTTTTTCCATATTTTAGAAGATTGAAAGGTCGAAACTCCATTGACAGAAAGATAAAAAAAAAGGGCTCCAAAACAACTTTTCTCCCTATTTTCTCGATAATTTATCAGACACCACAAATCAAACAGCCAGACGACGTTCCGGATCCATAAAATACACGGACAAATAACAAAAATAACAAAAAAGACCTTATCAGTCTGAACTTTCGAGTCGAAATGAGTTGAAAAATCGTTCTTCCAGTGGGAACGTGACTGTCAAATACTGCGCGTGTGTTTGAACACGTTTTTTTTTCGAGAAAAAGTTTTGTCTGGCCGACGGAAAAAAGTGGGAATTTTTCGCTTTCAAGTTCACTTTTTGTTGTTTGTAGTGCATGAAAAGCGTAGATTTGAGGTCTTGGAGTCAATTTTTCCGGACAGAATCACGAAAAATCACGAGAATTCGTTTTTTTAAGCGCGAGGGGATCTGAAATAAACACCTTTTTTCATTTTCAATGAATGGAAGCCAAAATTTATAGTTTTTTTTTTGAAAAACTCTGACTCTCTCTGCGCTCTTTTTTCTCTCCCTGAGAAGGTCGAGAGAGAGAACGAGAGGGCGCAGACAGGTCAGACGGTTGAAGTCGCGGCGAATGGTGTATCGAAACTCATTACTTAATGTTGAGAACGAAGAGACGCAGACATTCCCAAAATTTTTTTCTGTCTCTGCGTCTCCAACCTTCTCCTTCTTTCTAGAATTTTGTAATTTCTGATTTTTTGACCGAAAAAAAAAGCCCTGTCCTCTTTGAAAAGGTTAAACGAGAGAACGAGAGGGCGCAGACAGATCAGACGGTTTTAATTCGCGGTTCAATTCATTATGAAACAAATAAAGCAGTTTTTAGAAGATCCCCTAGAAGGCATGTAACCGAATGTTGAGAACGAAGAGACGCAGACATTTCTAAAAATCTTTCTTTCTCTGCGTCTCCAACCTTCTCCTTCTCTCTAAAATTCTGACTTTTCGATCGAAAAAAAGCTACAAACAATGGCCTTATTCTCGTGATTCTTCAGTTTCTCAAAAATCAAAAATCATTAATGAAAAAAAAAAAGAAAAGAAAAGATGGCAATCAGGAATTTTTTTCCCATTTCCTTCCCGTTCTCTTGAGCTTTGGTTGAGAGGAAAAATAGCGTGATTCGTTTTTTGCAAATTCTGCGGGGCCTGTTCTTTTAATTTGAGTCGTCGGAAAGGGCCTTTTCTCCCAATTAAATTAGATTTTTGGAAGAAGAGGAAGTTGCATTCGAATGCGCCGAAATACGGAATTTTCACGATACTTTGCCCCCTTATTAACTATGTTTTTTTCTATTGAAAAAAACAATAAAGAACGCATTATCTTTTATCAAAAGGGACACGTCTGGTCAGAATTTAGTTCCTCTTCTCGTTTCGTTTCGAGTTTAAAGTTGAAACGAGACGAAAAGTGGAGACATTTGAACTGAACTGAAATGACGTGAAAAGCTTGCTTTTCGTGTGTTCTATGAGTACGAAAATTGGGAAAAATAGGATTTTTAGACCATTTTTGGCTTCAGGAAAATGAACAAAAGCAGAGATCCAAAAATGGGAGAATTTGGAACATATCAAATCAAAATATTGAATTTTTTAGTCTTTAATCGCTTTAAAACGGCTCATAATTAGCATTTAGAAGTTAAAAAATCGCTATTTCGGCTTTTAAACCCCCCCCTGGAACAGGGAAAAAAAAGAAGAGCTATTTCTGTTGATTTTTGTACGTAGTTTGGCGCTCCGTTGACAAATATTTGCCTGAAACTCTTTTACTCCATTCACCAAGTTTAGGATCTTCAGAGGGGTCTCTATAGGGGCCTTTGAAGGGTCTCCTCTAGGGACCACTTTACCAACCCCTATAGGGACCACTGAAGCTTGCCACAGTGGTCCCTATAGGGGACATTCTAGTCGATTATTGTTATGAACTCTAAGCGAAGAAGCATTTCCATGGGAAAAATTGAAAAAAAGCGTTTTTTGAATGAAATTGAAAGACCCCTATAGGGACCACTTGAGCAGAAGCTAAGAAGGTCAGGCTCTAAATCCCTATAGGGACCACTTTTTTGGCTCCCATAGGGGCTGTTTTTCCTCCTAAACTCTATAGAGAGCACTCTGGAACTCCTAAGATAAGTTAGAACAAAAATAGTACAGAGATGTCTGAACCTCTTCTCTTTGAACGCTATTTCGCTAACCGTGTGGCAACCTTTTCTGTGAAATGAATCTATAAGGCGCCCATGAATGAACCTTATCTGTCACGACGAGAATTTTCAAAATCAAGACGTGGAACTTGACTTTTGATCTGTCTTTCTGTAGAGATAAAACGGCGCTGCGTTTATAGCGTCACATGGGGCGCCCTGAATTTACGCGAGACCCCCCAAAACAACACTGTTTTGAACGCAATTAATCGTTGATTGAGGGCTTTGGCCCAGCCAGATTTCGGTGTTCTTTGGCTTGGTTTTTGTTTGAAATATTGATAAGCTAAGGAAAATTCCGATATTTGTGAGATTTTGAATAAATTCTCCATTTTGTTGCTCATTCCGTGTATTTTCTTCATTCCGTGTATTTTCTTCACTCGAAGTGGTAGCTCTCTCAGTCGGCCGAGGCTACCCTAGAGTGTACACGGCGTCCGTGCCCGAGCCCCACCATCACCGCCGTGTCCGTACCCGCGAAACTGAGGGATCAACTTGTGGAAGAACGAGGCGAAGGACCGTAAGACCATGCTTTCAAATCAATCGACTACACGTTTTGACTTCTTTTTCGCCAAAGGCGGTGTTAGTGCCGCTCAAAAGAGCAATTTTTTCACCGCCTAGTCGATACCATCTGACTAAAACAACCAATAAATATTGTATTGTATTGTATTGTATTAGGAAACGTTTTCTCGAAATAGGTCTTATTTTTGAGTTTGGACACTTCAAAAAAGCGCTTTTTTGTTGCAATTTGTGTATTTTTTTCGGACTTTGAATCTTTATAAATCTGAAAAAATCTATTGCGAGAAATTTTTCCGTAATCAGAAGGTCTTAAATTACACTTCGGCGAAGTTTCATCGAAAATAAAACCCTTGGGGGATTTAAAAACGTTCTCTAGTCAAGTTGAAATATCAAAAAAAAATAGCTTCAGATCCTTTTTGAGAAGCTGTAAGAAGTTTTTTTGAAAATACTGGATTTCAGATTTTTTTCTAGCCATTTTTTTCAGGTATTCATGATTTTTTCTCAGTAAAGAAAAAAACGAATTTTTTTGGCGTTTTAATTGAAAAAAATTACATTTTAAAGCTCTGAAAGAGTCAAATTTTCAACTTCTTGAGGTTTTTTGCAGTCTTTTAATTGAATAGGGTCTCAGTAAAGCAATTATTCAAAGTGCGACCGACCTAAAACGGTTTTAAACGCGACCGCAACGCTTTGAGCCATTCCAAATGCGGCGGTTCTACCCGAACTGTAGTTTTTTGCTTATGAAATTGCAATATCTTTAAAATTTCAAAGGTTTGAGTCACTTTGTGAATTTTTCACAGTCCTGGTACCTTTTTTTAACCGTTTTATCGAAATCCGTGACTCACTTCTGTTCAAAAACGACCAAAAAAACATGCCACCGGAACCGAGAAAAGTGGGCGGAGCCTTATTTGCCTTTGAAAAAAAGGCCGTTCGATTTCCCATCATACTCCGAAAGATCAACAAAGACGCCCAGGCCACGCCCACAAGACAAAGGAGGCGGAGTCTACTGAACGCCCGAAATTCTCATTCATTCTTTCGTCGACGCCTTCATCAAGACGTTCTATTCTTATAAATAGTTTAGTTTGGGCGATCTTTGGAAGAAACAGCCGCCGGGGGGGCGGAGCCAGCGAGGAGCGTGTCGAGGCCTCCTCTAGTTCGATCATTCGTTTCGTTCTTTCTTGACTTGGTCCCGGTTTCCGACTTCTTTCATTCCCTTCGGCCTTGATTTTTGGAATGTCTTTGAGAAGTTTTTAGAGGTCTTCTTGTGACTGTAAGACCTGGTGTATAGGAGTCTTGATTTCTGAACTTTTTTGGGCTTTTTTTTGAAGATTTTTTGATTTTTTAAAGTGTGGAAAAAATAAAAAATGATTTTTCAAGTCGAACGGTTTTCTTGTGACAAGGTGACAGTAGGGATTGTGATTTTTGAAATTTTCTGGGCTTTTTTTGAAGATTTTTTTTGATTTATTGAAGCTTTTGTTGAAGATATTTCTACTTCTAAACTTTTTTAGGCTTTTGTTGAATTTTCCTGATATCTTGAACCTTTTTGTGAACTTTTTATTTTATTGAACAGTTCAAAGGCTTGGAATTTCAAAAAAAACTTGGTGTGAATTTTTTTTTTTGAGTCTGTAAAGTATGCTGTTTGATTTTTCCAGCCTTTTTCCTGAATTTTCGGGTCCTACACAATATGATTTCTAATTTATAACTTTTTGAAGTTTCTGATAACAGTTTCGGTTACTTTTTCTACTTTTCCTAGAGTGTTTCAGTCTTCAATTGAAATTTTCCAATTTCAACTGGATGTATTTCAGATTTTTGAACTTTATAGGCTTTTCAAAGCTTAAAAAGGGCCTCTGAACTTCTTAAAATGAGCTTTTTCTCGTTTTTGTGCTCTGTACTTTTTCATCCGCTTTTGTTTCCCAACCCTCGATTGATCTTTTCACGCTTTGAAGTTCCGAAAAATCACTCGTGTGCCTGAACAACTGACGCCGAATTTCGTCGATTCCACCAAAAATCTTCCACGACTCTGGCCTCATTTCCTGACGTCAACGAACCGAAAAATTAATCCTCTTCAAGAACCCTTGACAGCTGATTACGGTAGACCTGATAAGGTTGCCTTGAAAAGCCATTCCTCCGAATTTCCATCCCCTTATCACTCCAATTTTGGTCCTCGTCACGTGCCGTCGTACTCCATTTTTGCCTCGTGATTCGATTCATTGATCAAACTAGATTTATTCAGAACAAAAATGACCGTCTCGTTTCGTGTGAATCCCGAGTACGCGGCGATGAGCGAGGTCGTCCCCGGCCTGTTCATCTGCGGCGTCTCCGCTTTGACCAAGGAAGAAATGAAAAAGTGCAAGATCACCCACATCATCAATGCTACTACCGAGGTGAGGATATCGCTTCAAATCAGAAAAAAAATGGCTGGAAAGGCTGCCACTGGCGTAAGGATGAAACTTAACTATCCAGCCCTGAAAAATTCTTCGAAATGGTCAAAAAATGGCTCTGAAACGATCATTTTAACTAAGTGGCACCTACGGGGCCACTAGAAAGATTGTCAACACTTAAGTGGCCACTAGAAAGTATCTTCAGCACTTAAGGGGTCACTAGAATGTATCTACAGCACTTAAGGGTCCCTAGAAAGATTGTCAGCTCTTAAGTGGTCACTATAAAGTATCTTCAGCCCTTAAGGGGTCACTAGGAAGTTTCATCAGTCCTTAGGGGTCACTAGAATGTATCTTCAGCCTTTAGGGGTTCCCTAGAAAGAATTGTCAGCACTTCAGTGGTCACTAGAAAGAATCTTCAACACTTTAGTGGTCACTAGAAAGAATCTTCAACACTTTAGTGGTCACTAGAAAATATCGTCAGCCCTTAAGTGGTCACAAGAAAGTATCTTCAGCACTTAAGTGGTCACTAGAAAGAATCTTCAGCACTCAAGTGGCCACTAGAAAGTATCGTCAGCCCTTAAGGGGTCACTAGAAAGTATCGTCAGCCCTTAAGTGGTCACTAAGAGTGCTCCAACACGTCCGATTCACGTTAACAATCAGATTTGGTCCTTAAAAATCGATCATAAGATGAAATTTGACGCTTCTGAAGTCCCTGAAAAGCTCAGTATGTTCCGAAACGAGAACTTCTTAAAATCATGATCATCTTTTTGTCCTGAACGACCAATTTTATCGTCCCTACCTCCAGGTGCCCAACCTGAGAAGCCTCGGCGACATCCAAAGGACGAAGCTCTGGCTGGAAGACACGCCACAAACCTACATCTATCCCCACCTGGAGCTCCAGGCCGACCAGATCCAGGCGTTGATCGCCGACGGCGGCCGTGTCCTCGTCCACTGCGTCGCCGGCGTCTCCCGCTCGGCCTCCATCTGCCTCGCCTACCTCACCAAATACAGGTATTTATTGATTTTCGCTGTTCAAATCGGTTCACCTGTCTTTTGAGAGGGCAAAGTTTGGTGATACCTTCGAAAAAAGGCGCTTTTTTTGCGAAATGGTTCTTTTAAAGAAGAAAAAAAGGTGTTTGAAAAGATGTCATTTCAGGAAAAGAGGCTTATAGAGGTGACAAAAGCTCTTTTATCTGAAAAGGAGTTCAAAAATAAACTTTTTTTGCATATTTTTAAGAAAGTTCATTATTTTTCATCAAAAAAAGGCCCTTAAGAGGTTTCTTCGAATTTTTTTGCGCATTCAATTTTGAAAATGTCTAAAATATAGTCTAAATCGATCCCTCACTTGGAAACTTATAAAATAAAAAAACTTTTTTTCTGAAATTTTTGAAACACTTGATGAACCGTGCGCATTTTTGCATATAAACCCTGCACCTTTTGCAGGGAGTAAAAAAATTTTTCAACCGAAATTTATCCTTTTTTTCGAGACTTTTTCTTATTTGTTAATGCACTTGTATAGTTTACGAAGCATTTCAGTTTAAATTTAATATTTTGGCAATTTGGTTGGGATCATGCTAAAAATTACCATGAAACGTATTCTTTTTTGAACTTTGACCTTTTCAAAAATTTAAATTCTAGATGCCGATCTCTTCGCGACGCCTACCACTTGATGAAATCAAAAAGAGTGATGGTCCGACCGAATTTGGGCTTTTGGCGTCAACTTATCGCCTATGAACAGGTAATTTTCATCTTCATCATAATGAGAAAATTGACGGACTTTTCGAGGAATCCTTATCTATACAGTTTCATCGATAAAAGGGCTCTTTCAATGCAAAAGTCCAATGGAATCAATCAAAATGGCGCCGTTTTTCAATCCGCTTATGATTCATTATCATTATCGAACTTTAGTTTCAAAGAAAAATGCCTTTCTCATGGCTTTCACGTGTTCTGTTATTGTATTTGTGCTCTTTGATTTGCTGACACGACGGTTTTTCCGCCCCCAACGTTCTAGAAATTTGATATCGGAAATCATATGCAGTGTAGTTTGATGGTTTGCGAAGCACGTGAGGGGGAAATCGTAAATTTAATGGCTTTTTGAGTGAAAATTTTGAGAATGATCAGTTTTGAGTCATTTGTTTTATGTCTTTTCAAAAATTTTTATGCTTAGGAAGGTTTTTTTTATTTTTTGAATCAGTTATTCCATAAAGTTAGGAAGGGACCTTCGAAAAAAACGTGCAATTTTCAAAAAAAAAAAATGTTTTTATGAAGTTCAGAAACTTCAAAAATAAGTTCACTGAATTTTTTTAGATTTTTAAGCCATCTTTCAAACTTCTTTAAAACCTTTAAAAGGTACCTAAATTTGAGCTAAAGTTATAAAAAAAGCCCAGATTTTTTTACGAAAAGAAGTTTTTTAAAAGATTTTTATCATAATGCCGTGTTCAAAGTAATTTCCGCGAAATGCAAAAATGGTCTCTGACCCTCCAAAATTTAGTTATCATTTCTCTTTTTTCTGACGGCTATTTTGAATTTCGCGGAATCACTTTGAACACGGCTTAAGATTCCTTCTTTTTCCAATTCAGTGTGTTTGATCAATATGAAGGGTGAGAAAAATACATATGAGGAGGACATTACTATGAAAAGGTTTTTAGGATTTCTGAAATTTCTTAGAGGAGAAAGGGTTTAAAGATGATAATATTTTTATGTCGCGCAGCCGTTTCGGGTCCCAAAAATGGACGGCTTAGAGGGTGACCCATCGTCAGCATTTTACCCTCTTGCTTTAAATCAAAAAAATGTTATAAAAGATTTTTTTAGCTATTATACCTAGGCGCAGTTTTAAATTAATAAAGTTTGGAAAAATTGAAAAGGGAAAAACTGATAAATGAAGGGGAAGAAAAAAAGGAAAAAGAGAAAAAAAGGGGAAATGTAGTCATTCATATCCGATATCGATTGTTGTCGGCAGAGGTCAAAAAGTTACGAAGAGGTAGATTAAATTTATGTTCTTGTGGAAGTCTATATTGAAAGTATAAAGGTAGAAAAATTGAGGTTGAAATTTGGAATGTAGAGTGAAGAAGGGATAGTTATAATGAAATGTGTATTTTTTTGCAAAACTAAATCCGATTTTTTTCTTTTGAATTTAGTCCTATTTAAAGTTTTTTTGTTTAATTTATTTTAGCTTCTTCATAAGGGTTTAAAACCGTCCGCACTTTATGAGCGTATGTTATTTTTTTCGGAAATCCTTACTGAAAACAAAAATAATCACGAGAAATACCTAAAAAGTTCTGTGGCTTTCAAAAAAAATAGATAGAAATACTTTTTCTTCATTTGGACCACATATTAATTTTTGCGATTTTTCAGAACGTGAAGGAAAATCCGGGATCCGTCCGTCTTGTCAGAGATGAAGCTCAGCCAGATTGCCTCCTTCCTGACGTCTACCTCAACATCGCCATTCCTCCACGTCCTGAGGTGATTTTTGCACTATTTTCAAGGAAAATTAACGAAAAAATCATTTAAAACACTTCAAACAAACTGATAAACTGATTTGCAGAGCCCCGAAGCCGACGGCAACACCGACGAGCCGCGGGAACGCCGGAATTCCGGCCTCCGATCCAAATTCCGGCCAGTCCTGGAGCCCCTCATCGAAATGGCCGAAGCCGTCTGTTAATCCCCGAAGTTCTCGTTAGCACTCTTGCCTTTTCTGTACCTTTCACCGGCCTTTCTTATCACCATGTATCATATCTCTTCCTATGCCTTTCCGACACCTTTTGCTGTACATTGCCGTTCCTTTTTTCTAGTTCTCTCCGCGGGTTTTCGCTTTACTTTTCTCTTTTTCCCTCGCAAAATTAACGTGATTAACCATGCTTCGTTTCGGTGAACACTGAACTCACGGGTAATTTTGCCTGATTATGTACATATACCTTTCCTCTTGTTGTTGTTAGTTCTTTCTGTCCAACTTACACACTTCTAAAATTATTTAACCTATTTTTGTTAGGCTTCAAATGGGTTCCTCTTGCAATTCGTGGTATTCATATGGATTTGCTAACGTTTTCGTTGGTATAAGATGAGACAATAAACAAAGTGAAATCAAAAGATAAATATTTGTCCAGCAATTAAAGGCACATGAACGATATTTGCAGAAAGTTTCGCAACGAATACCTTGTTCAACAGATTTACGAATTCTTTCGTGATTTTATTTTTTTTACTCGCTTTTTTTGTTTTTTTAACTGCTTTTTAGTTATTTAAGCTTCAACGTCAAATTAATTTCGATTGAAAAAAACATCAATTTTTCAAGACTTTTTATCGAATTTTTTTCAACGAATAATTAAATTTAAAGGGAATATATTTTTTTTTTCTAGAAAAATCATGAATTTTCAAAAATTCGCCACAGTCCACGAAAACAAAGTTTTCACTGAAGGAATGATTATTTTTCCATATTTTTGTTTTTCGTAAGTTTTTCTTGTTCATCTTTTAACGTGTTCATGAATGTGTGATGCGACGGTACAAAAGATTAAGGAGAAAATAAGTCAGTGATAAAAAGTTAGTTGCGATTTGAAGTTAAAAGATTGCGAAATAAAAATAATTCAAAGTAAAATGGCTCAATTTTTGAGTTTTTACGGTTTTATTATAAGCTTTCATGTGCGTTTATGCTCATTGTGCTCCGAATTTTTCTGATTAAATGAAGCTAATTCAGCCCTGAAATGAGTGTCGACTCTGAAGGGGCGCGGGGCTGGGTCAAGATCGAAATCCCGCACTCATGGCAGGATCGACTGGATAGCAGAAGCGCGAATGAGCGAATCAGAAATTTGATCGAAAGTCAAGTTGTCAAATTGCCTCCGGTGCGTTTTATCGTTGAATTTTTGAAGAAAAATGAATTTTTTAGGCTCTGGAAATGTACGGCATGAAAGTTTTGTCGACGAGCGAAATTCAAAAAGTCGAGGAGCAGGATTGCGAGGCTTATTACGAAGTCAATTTCGAAGTAAATTCCTGGAATTTTCGGAAAATCACGTTTAAATTCAGGTGACGAGCGATCATTTCGACAAGAAGCTTCTTTTGGCCCTTCAGCGTTATTTTGATGATATTAATCGTGTAGGGGCGAATTGAGTTTTAAAGACGAAGGAATTGAAAAAAAAAATCCTCCCTGGAATTTTCAAGTGACTTAAAATTTATTTCGAATCACAATTTATGTAATTTTCCGATTTTTCGAAGCCTCGGGCCATTGAAAGTTTGAAAACCTTCCAGTAAATTATGAATTTTCCGATTTTTCGAAGCCTCTGGTCATTTAAACTAGCAAAGATTCCAATAAACGGAGAATTTTCCGATTTTTCGAAGGATTTGATCATTAAAATTATCAAAACTTTCAAGTAAACTATGAATTTTTCCTATTTTTTTCAGAGCGTCTGGTCATTGAAAACTTGGAAAACTTTCTAGTAAATTGTAAATTTTTCCGAGTTTTTTTATAGCCTCTGCTCGTTAAAAAAATTTGAAAACCTTGCAGTAAATTGTGAATTTTCCGTTTTTTCAGAGCCACTGGTCTTGAAAAACCTGGAAACTTTCAAGTAAACTATGAATTCTCCGATTTGTTGAAGCCTTTGGTTATTTAAACTAGCAAAAATTCCAATAAACTAAGAATTTTCCGATTTTTCGAAGTCTCTGATCACTAAAACTTGAAAAATTTGCATTATTGTAAAATTCGAATTTTTTTTCTCTATGCGCCTTTGAACATCAGCATAATTTATAGATTTATGAAAGGAAAAATTTATTTTTAGGATGGTTTTATGCCATTCCAACGGGGAAATCTCGTCCTCCACACTCCCGTTTTTTTCTCCGATGAGCTGAAGTAACTTGCGAATTTTGTATTTTCAATAAATGTTGATTTATTCAGATGCTGTATGAAGGATCTTCCAATCTCTGCCATTCATTTTGGCAATTTGCAAGGCGGCATTTTGATCAATCATTGGGAGGTTTGTCTTTTTTTTATTTTTCGAATAGTTCCGTGCTCAAATGGATTCCGCGAAATGCAATATGGCCGTCAGAGAAAGAGAAAGATAACTAAAATTTTAGAGAGTCAGAGAAAAATTTGTATTTCGCGGAAATTACTTTGAACACGGCATAATTTTTTTGTTGATAATAATGTCATTTTCGTGTTTCAGAAGTTTTTTTAAAATTTTCTTTTTGAAAGTGTCATTTTTGATATCAAACTATCAGATGTATTTTTCCAAAAAAAGTCCAAGTCTTTCATTGATTTTTGGCATTTATTTTTTTGAAAAAAATGGTTAGAAAAAAATTTTTAAAATTGAGAAAAAAAGGTAAAAAAATATGTTCCTTACAGTTCGATTTGTAAGAAAAAGTGATTTAGACTGAGAAAAAACTTGGAATCCTGTACATGTAAAATTTTCGGGTTTACACTTTTTTTAGGATTTGTTTACTTTGAATCGATAATGAATAACATTGAACTTTTTTTCAAAGTTTAGTTTTGTAACTTATTTTCGAGTTTCAGGTCTCCTTCTGGCCGGAAACCCACAAAAGGCTGAATAAAGACCGTCCCGATGAGATTTCGATGGCCGAAGCCGATTCCTTGTTCAGACTTTTTGTCGATTTCGAGTTTGACAAGGGCGACATGATCATTGTCCACTACAAAGACAGAGAAATGATGGGTTAGGGTTTGAAAAAAAATTTTGAAGAAAGTTATTTTTCATTGTTCTTGAAAATTGAAGTTCTTGGCGTAAAATTTGAACTTTGAGGTCTAAGAAACTAGAATTTTCAACTAAAAAATTATAATCTTATGGTTTTTCATCTGTTCGGTTATCTTAAATTTATGGATAAGCAGATTTGATCACTTTTTTTGAAGGTTTTGAACTTTAGAAGAACTTTTAAAACTGTTTTGAAGCTTTATATTTGAAGATATTCTGTAATTTTGGCTCAAGTTTTTTTTTAAATCGAGAAAAATTTACAAGAAAGGTATAAAAAAAGAGGTTCTTTATACAAATGCTTTGGATCATACATGGGCAAGTGACGGACCTGGTCAGCCGACAGGGGGTTGCGGAGCGCACCGAATAGCATGTAGGGGGGTCCGGAAATAGTAAGGGCGCGCCAATGACAAAAAAAATTTTTTTGTTGTCCAAATTTTTTTCAAAAAAATTCGTTTATAGGTGAAATAAAAATACGTAGATAACGGGAAAAAAATAATAAAAAAACTGAAAAAAATGATTGGCTGAAAAAAATAAGAGTTCCGGGAAGATTTCAAACGATTGAAAAATTGAGAGAGCTTTTTCTAGAAATTTCTAAATATGACAGGCAGCTTCAGCGTAGTCGATTTAGTCAGAAAACATCCAGAGACCTTTCTGGAAAAGGTTTTTTTTGCACTTGCTGATCCGGGAGGTTTTTCACCCGTTGCTTCAGTGCTTTTGAACGGGTGAATAAGCCCCCGGATCAGCAGGTGCGGAAAACACCTTTTCCAGAAAGGTCTGTGGATGTAAGGGGGTACTGAGAGGCGTTTTTGAGGGGTTGCCCACGTATGCTTCGGGTTTGAATTTTATTTTTTCCAAGGTAAAATTTGGAACTTCCAGACGTTATGGACCAAGCAAAAGGCCGTAAAGAGAAGCAATTGGTCACGACCTGGTATCAAATCACGGTAAAATTTAATTTTTATAGTAATATTGTCCTTATTTTAAATTTCCAGATCAAAAGACAAACAATCCGGCGAATCATCTGCGACCCGTTGGTCAACGATATGAATGGAAGTGGGCGATACCGCATCCATTTTGATCTCAATTGTCCCGTTCTTATCCGTCGTGGATACTTTACCGATGCTCGGGCCAAGGTCTGCTTGGGGAAAAAAAATAAAGAAAGAAAGAAAAAAAAGAAACAAGAAAATGAAGTTATAGTTGAACTTCATTGAGAGGAAGCGTTTGAAAAAAGAGAATCCCTAAAAAAATAGTCACATATGGTCACGGCATTCCTAATGGGGTGAGCGAGGCGTCAAAGTTTCTAAATTCACAAAAAAAAAGTAAGTGCGCGCTCCGGATCAAATTACGTCATTTTACGTCACCACTTATACTGAGTATTCAACGTTAATAACTTCTTAATTCTATCGCCTTCGGCGATGGTAGGACGAAAAATTTGATCCGCAGAAATACGTCGCGTGAAAATTGCGACCACATAACCTATGAGCCACGAAAATTTTAAGCCTTCAAAATTTTTTCGTAAAATTTTAAAATTGCTCAGATGATGACCTTTTGAATTTCTTTCTTTTCCTTTTTTTTTTCAATTTTTTTCCCTTTATTCTTGATATTGATTAATTACAGAGCTAGAGCCACTGTTTTTCGGTAGGTTTCTAGAAATTTCAATCATTATCATCAATAAGAAGTCTGTCATTTTTATAAACATGGAAAAACGTATTTAGTTGACAGATTTTTGAACTTTAATGATTTATGGCACAAATTAATTGTGAAAAACAGAAGAAAAAAAGAGTTAAAACTCGAAATTAGGTTTCAAAACGTTATCAAATCCTGGGATCGCCGAGATAACTCAACGCAGAAATGAGAATCAGTACTAGAGCAGAAGTTTGAAAAAGACCAGAACGAAGAAAAACAGAAAATACAGAAATTGAAAGCCTTATATGCAAGTAATTTCTAATTTAAATGGACAAAATTTTAAAGGCTAAAATTTTCGTGGCTCATAAGTTATGTGGTCGCAATTTTCACGCAACGTATTTTTGCGGATCAAATTTTTCGTCCTACCATCCCTTCGGCTGCGTACTTGAGGTTTCAATTTTCGCGCCAAATTTTTTTCGACGTCTTCTCACCCCGTTTGGGAACGCCATGAAGGGGGATTATGAGAAAATTATGAGATGAAAGAAGCATTTTTCAAGTGATTGAAAGTACTGGAGTTAACACATTTTCAAATCCTGGATATCAGATCTAAAATTTTTCATTTTTTGATCAATATGGAACATCAGTCTTCGCTGAAAATGTAGAAAAGTTATCATTTACACTCGGAAAACTAGAATTTTTCCGGGAACTTGAAATTTCCCCAACCAAATTCACAAGTTTTTCGATTTTTAGTACTGAAATTGGTAGATTTTTTTGGATATTGAACATCAAAACTCATGATTTGTTGTTTTTTCTCGATATTCAAGAATGGCACTTCAACTCAAGGAGATTAAAAATATGGAAAATGATCAATTCTACTTGAAAAACTGGATTTTACCCCTCAGAGCCTTAAAAAGTTCAAATTTTTTCAATTTTCGCTTCTTGAACGATTGTTCAATCTGCGTTTTGAAAATGGGATCTAATTTTGATTGAGGAGCTCGAGTTTGTCAGTTGTTCCACATTATTTTAGAACTTGAAGGTTTAAATATTTATTCAGTTTATAGAGTAGATTCTCTGCTTAGTTATGAGAATTGTTGAAGAGTTTTTTATTCGCGAAACTGTCGTTGATCAAGAAAGGCGCGTAGAGCCTCTCGTCCTTCTTGAAATAGTAGTTGAAAAATTTTGAGCGTTCTGACGATCAGCTGTTATTCAATATAGGATCAGTACGGCGCCCAGCTTGTCCAGGGCTAGCGGGCGTCGGATTGAACTTAAAACTTGAATTTATAAGAATTTGTCTAACTTTAAAAGGAGCTAGTATGATAAATCATGATTCCCTGCATTTTGTCCGTTCAGGAATCGAAACACGCGATTCCGACGTTCGTCAGATGGTTGCACGTGAAACGAGGTCGCGATCAAAGCCAATATCCCAATGATTTGGCCATTGCCGACAGTCCCGTCTTCACCTTGGATTTTGAAGAAACTATTCAAGTCCTACTTGTTTTCATTTTTGAAAATATTTCTGAAAATATTTCAGGCCCCAACGATTTATCTTCTCCTCTCTCGACTCCGCCTCCGGATAGGCTGTCCCATTGAGTTTTCTGTGTACCCGGTTCGTGTGGGGTAACATTTTCATCAAAAAATAGTGATTCCAAGTGTAGAAATGCTGAATTTATTTTGCTCAACTTGAATTTTTTTTTTTGGCCGCATTTGGAATGGCTCGAGTAGTCGCGATCTGAATTTTTCTCAATAGTTTTTTATTGGATGATGGAACTATTGAAGAATTTTGCTACAGTGCGCTTCAGGGTCTACTGATTCCGAAAAAAGGTTTTATTTCCAGAATTTGCCTTATAGTCGAGTTATGATGCTTTGAAATTTTCAAAAAAAAAAAACGCTTTTTTCAATTTATTTCTAGTTTCAAGAAGCATCTAAACTGAGGATTCGAAAATCGGACAAAATTGGAATTTTTCGGGTTTTTTTTTCACATGAAGGAGGTTACTAGCAAACATGGGCAAAGTCGGAAAGGGTTGAAAAAATCTCTACAGAAATTTTTCTTTTAGTTTCCTCTTTGCTGCCTTTTTGCGCCATTTTCTAAGCCCATATGCACCATTTTTGCTGCCTCTACCTTTTTTCCACCATTTCTTGAGCCTTTGAGATTTTAGAAAAATGGAAGGCTCGATAAAGGGACCCTTTTTGCTACCTTTTAGCGGCCTTTTTTGAGCCTCTCCCTTTTAGCGGCTATTATTCACCATCCCGACTTTGCCCGAGTTGATTGGGACTTTGCAGATACGAAAAAATTTTCAAAAATGATAGAAAAACGCCCGAGAAGTTTGAAGTTTAGCGAAGGCCAAAAAAAAAAACACCTAAACTGTCTGAGGATCCGCTTCAGCCATTCCAAACGCGACCAAGGCCATTTCAGTTCTAAAACAGTTATGAAACTTGAGGCTGTCGATTGCCTGTACGCCCGGGACAGCCCGTACCATCGTTGGACCTGGAACCAACATCTTCGCCAATACCTGCCCCCGACTCATCCCAGTACTCCGCATTTCGGCCATTTTATCAATTCTGTGTGTTATTAATCATTTTTCTCGGCATGAAAAGCGGCATTTTAAATGCGAAGCGGTCGCGTTGCGTTTTTGGCGCCATTTTAAATTCTCTGCATTTTTGAATTTTCATCACCTTTCCTGTTGAAAAAATGAGTTAATTCGCTTGGAATGGTCCTCGAAGAAAGTATTTCAGAATTTTCATATAATGAATGAAGAAAAGTTTTGGCAGTAATTCAAATTATGAGATAATTTTTGAATTTGCGCCAAAAACGCATAGCGAAAGGCGTTTGAAGCTGAGAAAATTTAGCTTTTTACGCCTATTTTGTACCTTTTTTCTAGCTCTTCCCGAGGAAAAAGGAGATCCAAGGAACCCGAAATACGGACGTGAACAAGGAGCGAAAATTCGCCATCACTTATCTGATCGAATGTCTGATATCAAGGTGAAATGAAGAAAAAATGGCCTCTTTCTTCTGGTTGAAGTGTGCTCCATTGATAATTCAACCTTTTTTTGTTTAGGAATTTTTGCGTTAATTTTCCCAATAAGTTGGTCATCAATTTATTAAGTTCAATATTTCAGAGGTAGAATTAAACCCCAAATTTTATTAAAACCGTGTTTTTCCATGCTGTTGAGGTATAAGGTACAAAGATTTTAATAATTTTAAAAAATCGTCTCTTTTTTTTTGATCTCACTTTTATTTGTCCCAAACTATATTTAATGTTCTTTTGGATTTTTTCGGCGTTTTTTATGAGGTTACTTGATTTTTGTATAGAGAAAGTTGGTTAGCGAAAGAGAGAGACTTAGGAACTCCAGAGAGGTCCCTAAAGGGGCAACCTTAGGGACCCTTGGAGGACCCCCTCTAGAAATTACTTTACCAGCCCCTGTAGGGGTTACTAATGCTTGCAAAAGTGGTCCCTATAGGGGACATGCTAGTCGATAATTTCTATGAATTCTAGGCCAAAAACGAAACAAATAAGCGTTTTTGAATTAAAATTGAAAGACCCCTATAGGGTTCGCTTGAGCTTTTGGGGCTAAGGGAGCAGAACCTGAAACCCTATAGGGATCACTTCGATGTTACCCCTGTAAAGATCATTTTTTTGGCTCCTTGAGGGGATGTTTTTTTTCCTCTAACCCCTCTAGGGATCACTCTTGAATTTCTAAGTAAAGGGAGAGTAAAAAAAAATTTCTTTGACACTTTATTTTTTAGTTTACAGTGAAAAAGATATACGAGAAAGTGAGCTTTTTTTCATTTTGTATCGCAAAATTTCTAGGGGAGCCGTTGTCAAAGATCAACTTCTTCTCGAGGAGAAAATATGGAGTCGATTCCTCGAAATCATCTTCTACTACTGCACTACTGACCACAAGGCAACATTCTATGAAACTTTGCCGAAAAAATATATTTCTCTATTTTTAGTTGTGCGAAGCGGCGCTAGAAGATCTGGTTCACATGTTGGATGGCCGGAAACGCATCGGGTCTTTGATGAAAGTGACCTTTTTCTTATTATTTCAGAGAACTATTCAAGAAAATTTAGTGTTTTGACAATATTTGCAAGACGAGGCTCCGCAACAAGTTGACCAACGGCCTGACCGAGGAGGAAATGCGGGAAGGTTATCAGAGAGTCCGAAAGGTGAGTGAAAATGAACGATTTTTCAGAGTTTGAAGCAATTTTTAGAATTTTAGACGATTTGAAGCAATTTTAAGACCATTTTTAGAATTTTTAGACAACTTGCTGTTTTTATGTTGTAAAATGAGCTTGAAAAAAAAAAATTAAAACTCCAAATTTTTGGAAAAATCTTTTTTATAGATTAGTTGGGCTCTCAGGTCTTTCTTTTTCAAAAGATATCATTAAAAATCAAAAATTTCTTGTGTTAGTTCGATTTTAGTCACAAAAGACTATATAAGATACTGTAAAAGTTGATTTTTTGGCTTCAAGAATTTCGGTAAAATTAGGAAAATTCGGCGTTTAATCGATTCATAAGAGCTCTCAGAATTATTTTTTGCTGGATTGGATAGTTTTTTTTTGAATAGTCCGTTTTGAAGAGATTCCGCAAAGTTGAAGTAGCCGCCAGAAAGTGAAAAAGATTTTGGAGAGCCAGAGATAATTTTGAATTTCGTCGGAAGAGCTATGAATAAGGCTAAGAATCGCAAATCATTTTTTTGAATATTATACAATAGATTCGATTTCGATATTGTCTTTGCTGAAACCCCCATGTTCTGCTTTGATGGCAAATTCGGATTTCACGTCATTAGTTATGTCATATCGCCTCCTTATTTTGTTCATAGAAGCGAATCCGCGTTCAAAAAATAGAGAGAGAAAGAAAAAAATGTACTGAGCAACAGAAAAAATCCCACAGCAAGTGGGCGGAGCTTAGCGGTCTCTAAATGAGGCGTTTAATTTTTTTAAGATCGAAAAAGCTAAGATTTTCAGCTATAATTTTGTAAAAATCGAAAAAACGTTGATAGGCAAGGTCTTACACTGCCAAAGTCGAAAGTGCAGAAAACGGGTGCAAAATGGCCGCTAAAAGGGTCCCGTTTTGCGGCCTTTCTTGAGCCTTTTTTCTTGGTGGGCTAAAAAGGGTGCAAAAAGGGTGCTGAAAGTCTCGGCCATTGATTATTTCCGTTTTTATTACTGTAGCACATTTTGGTTCATACACGTTCCTTTTTGATTTGAAAATGTTGTGGTTCTCAAAGGGTTCAAAAAGGGTGGATAAAGGCCGATGAAAGGACGGAAAAAGGCTGTAAAAAAACCGTTGCCACCCGTTAGGGACAATTAATGGAAACCTTTTGAACCATAAAAGAAGCCCGTAAAGGGTCCTTCCGACTTTGCATTTGAACGAAATAAGCTCAAATTTTCCAGCTCATCTTCACCCCGACGAGAGTGATATACGTGGCACCGGAGACGTTGATGGGCAACCGGGTGCTCCGGAAGTACGACCACGACGGCACTCGCGTCCTTCGCGTTACCTTCCGCGACGACGACAACACCAAGATGCGGGCCAACAAGACCAGCGACTTGATCATCGACCGCGTCGTCGGCAAATACCTCCGCGACGGGATCTGTGTGGCAGGTCAGATTTTGAGTTTCACGCTCGAGCTCCGCCCCTTATGACGCCATAGACCAATCAGGGAGCGAGCCATCCACAGAGCGCTTTAGAGAATGACGCTTGACAAGCTGAACCAACTACAGTCTATTTATGAACTGTTTCAAGGTCTTTAAAGGGACATTGCTTTTCCTTGCGGGACCTATATGAATATCAACTGCTTTTCTTAACACTGATCTTTCTAAAAATAAGTTATAGTCAATCCTCATCGATTTGAAGGACGAGGCAAGCCGCGTAGAGTCTGTTCTGAATAGTCTGCTCAATTTTCGAAAGTCTAGTCGGAGCTCAAGCTCCGCCCCTTATGGCGCGATAGACCAATCAGAGCGCGAGCCCTTCACAGAGCTTTTTCAAGAATGACGTCATTTTATCTGACATTCAAAGTTTGAACAGACTACAGGGGTCAGTTATTAATAAAGAAAAGAAACCGCAAAAAAAGTTTTTTGTGAATTCAACCCTACATAGGAAACGGGGAAGAGATTTTTTTTTTAGATCATTGGTGGATAGGCTACGAAAAAGGACCTAAAAAGGTTCCTTAAAAGCTTCCAGAAGTCTAAGGGATGCTTCAAAAAAGGGCCTTCAAAAGAGACAACCTTTTCTTTGCCTCTGTAGGCCAAAGTCCAAAAGACCTCAAAGGACCTTTCTTGGCCTTTTTTTGAAACTGACTCTTCTTTTTAGGTCTTTTTGAGGCCCTTTGCACTTCGCCTGTGTTATGGAGTTTGCATAGAAAATTCTTTGGAAGATAGCTTCCGAATTTTCTTTTTTAAAGCTCGATTCGGATCAGTTAGAAACTTCGCTTGTTTAATTTTATGAAGAAACTTGAGCCAAGGCGAAGTTCAAACCAAAATTATTCAAATTTCTCTGATTCTTCATTAGAAATATGCAAGCTTATGTATGGAATGAACATGATAAGTTTAAAAAAAAGGCAATTTTTGAACATGACCTTTTGGGAAGTCGGAATGGTGGATAATGGCTGCTAAAAGAGGAAGGCTCAAAAAAGGCTTCAGAAAGGCATCAAAATAAGTCCTTTATCGAGTTTTCCATTTTTTCTGGGATTTTAAAGGCTCAAGAAATGGTGGGAAAGGGAGACGCAGCAAAAATGGTGCATAAAAGCCGATGAAATGGCGCAAAAAGGCAGAAAAAAGGAACCTTTGTCACCCTAATAGTAACATTTCTTTGAAGCCTTTGTCTAATTTTTTTCAAGTAAAAAATGGTCTTTTTATGTACCTTTCTGACCATATTAAAACTTTTTAGTTGTTTCTATATATAGTAAAATCATTCTTGCACTTTTCAGGACGGGACTTCGGATATCTTGGAAGCTCGAACTCCCAAATGCGCGACAATGGAGCTTATTTCATGGAAAAGTAATACTTTCTGTATCTTATCTATGCATTTTTTTTTATGTGGTCTGTGTATTTTTCTAAAATTAAATTTTTAGATACTCGAAAAACGACCTGCGAGACTACAGAGAGGCGCACAAGAAGAATCCGCCGCCGGACTTTGCGCCCAAGATACGCGACGCGAGGAAAGCTCTCGGGAGATTCGAAGAAGTCGACAATATCCCCAAAATGATGGCTCGGCTGGGACAGTGTTTCACACAGAGTCGAGTAATTATAAATTCAAAGATTTTGGAATGGAAAATTTTTATTTAAAGTTGTCCGGAGTGAACTTGAAACGGTCCTCGTATATCACGACGTGCGATTTGGTTGGCGGAAGGAACAAGAAAGGGTTTGAGTTTGATTTTTTTAACGTTTTATGGAATTTTATAGTAGAAAAGTTGTGAAAATTTCATTTCTTTGACGGAAAGTAGAATTACTAGAAGCTGGGCATCATTTGAAAAAAATGTTTGAGAAGCTTTTCTTCAGATTTTTTTAAAAAAAGTACAATGTTGTCATTCAAAAAAAGTTCTGATTGGTTTATCGCACCATTAAGGGGCGGAGCTTGAGTGACGATTTTGTTACTAAAGATAAAAGAAAGCCGCTTGCTGCGCCCGACTTTGAGCGACTTTCTTTTTATATGTATATTTTTGCGCCGCACGGCACTACACAGGCTTTGGCAACCGGCCCTTTTTGAGCCATTTAGTTACGATTTCAATGACGTGAGTTCACTTAAGTGACCACTAAACTCAATTAAGTCGGGAATTTTCGGAATGAATAGCTCGTTTCGACGCTCAGATGCGTGCAGCTTTTCAAAATCTTAACTATTAGGCAGTGCGTTTTGAGAACTTTCTGAAACTCGGCTGAGACGTAATTTGTCCTTTTTATAAAATCAGACGCTTCAAAAAACTCGAAAAAAAAAACCGTTTTCCTCCGCTTCAAGGATACAGTACCGTTAGAGAATATATAGCCAATTCATGTCTAGCTTAGGGGCGTGGCTTGTCTGCTCCCTCCACCAACCAGACGCTATCTCTTTCATTATCGTGTCAGGACCCTTTTCTCGATGGCTCAAGCCAGCCGTGAATCAGCTGTACGTGAATATTTTCTCAAAACTCTTGGAGCTCAATCTTTTTGGAACTCTGAAAAAAGTCTTTTTTTGCGAACTCTGACCACCAAAGTGTTGAAAATAGGGATCCTCACACCCACAGAAGATTTCAGAAACAGAAAGCTGATCAAAATAACGTTTTTTCCTATTTTTCTGACGGAACTGTATCTGTTAAGGATGAAGCTTGGCTTGATGATTATTCGATTAAAAAGGAAAAAATGAATTTCGGAGTTCATCCAGGGTGCTTCAAATAGCCAAGTTTCAACAAATGCTGAAAAATTTTTTTTTCATTTTCCATGCTTTTTCATGATATGCCGGGTTCAAAGATTTCCGAAAAATGAAAAATTATCTCTGACTCTCCAGAATGTAGTTATCTTTTTCTTTCCCTGACGGCTTTTTTGGATTTCGCGGAATCTGTTTGAACACGGCAATATAGTCCGTTTTTCGGGACTTATAAGGGTGGAACTTCTCTGCGCCCTCCTGATCTCTCGACGTCTCTCTCATGTTTACGTGCTATTTCCATGTTTCTCTGACCTAGCCGAGGGAACAGAGAGACGCAGACACGCGAGAACTGTCAAGTCGCGGCGGGCGGACTATAATTTAGCCGAAAACTTAAATGCCAAACCCCCAAAGCTCCCATAGAAACACAAATATCACCAAATTCTGTTTTTTTTTTTCAGTGATGAGTTCACATTTTCCGATGGAGTTGGCATGATGAGCCGCGCCTTCGCCGAGGAAGTCTCCAAAGTGATGCAGCTCGGAAAGGGTGTCCCGTCTTGTTTTCAGGTCTTTTCACCTCAATATCCAACGAGAATGAGACGATTTTCAGTTCCGGTTCCGTGGAATGAAAGGAATGATCGCCGTTGAGCCGTTTCTCGACGAACTTCGCGTTTGGGCCGACAGGAACAAGTTGGAGCCGCTCGGCGAGGAAATGTCCTGGGAGATCAATTGCGCTTTCCGCCAGAGCCAGATCAAGTGGATTTTTGCAAAAAAAAAAGAATCGATTTTTTTAAATCAATTTTGAATATCTTGGAGCTAATTTGAGTAGATGAACGAAGCTTTTCAGAGCTTGAGAGGATTTGCTCTTCGAAAAAATGAAAAATAGTTGCTCCATGCAAATTTGTGCATTTTGGAGCTTATATGAGTAGAGTAACTGATTTTTTTTGCGTTTGAGAAGTTCAAGTGGATTTTAGAATTCAAAAAATTAAAAAATGGTTTTTCTTTAAATGTAAATCTGGGCGTTTTGGAGCTACCATAAGTGGATGAACGGAAATTTTCAGAACTTGAGGGGATTAAGGAGATTTTTCCTCTTCGTAAAATGAAAAAAAAATTTTTAAAGTATGTCTGTTCATTTTGAAGCTAATATGAGTAGATGAACTGAGCTTTTTCGGGCTTGAGAGATTCAACTGAATTTCGTCCTTTTAATGCAAAAAACAGTTCATATCATACAAAATTTCACATTTTGGAGCAGATATGAAAGTAGGGACAAAAGTATTGAGGTGAATAAATTGAAGAAAATTTAGATTTTGAGGGCTTGAAATGCATATTGAAATTATTTTAAGCTTTGAAAATCGTGAAAAGGAGAAAAAGGTCGCGTGATTCAAAATTTTGACAAACTTGTATTAAAAAGGATTTAAATTAAAGCTTCGACAAAGTTTCTTACATCATACTCGGCAAAAACCGTAAAAAATTTTCAGTCATGCTCATCCCATGTATGTCTTAAATTTGAAGGCTCCAGAAGCAAATCAAGGGTATTTTTATTTTTATTTGAAATCTTGAAAGGAATATTTTTGTGGGGGTCCAAGTCTGCTTTGAACTCCCTATATGTCAAAAAGAACAACATGTTTCTGTAGTAAATAAAAGAAGATTATAATTTCAAGCTTGAAAGAAGTTTGAAAATGAATTCACGATACCTTGAATTCCGGGACATTTCTAGTGACCGCTTCAGTAGCGTCAGCATTCTTAAGTGATCCCTAGAACTTCTCAGAAACGGCAGGAGCACGTCCAAGTATGAATATTGCAAAGAATACCCCTTCCATTTTTGAAAACCCAAAACTCTGTAATTTTCTAGGTTCGTCGCCAAACGACATGAAAGAGACCAAGTGGAAATCGTCAAATATTCCTCACCGGTCCCAGTGGCTCTGAACAAGCCTTTCATCAATATCCTTGACCAAGTCTCTTTTTCCATACTTCATGTAGAAATGAAGAAAATTGAAGGTCTCCGAAATGCAGTCGATGGAATGCCACCGACGGGTGACCAATCGAATTGAGGAACTTTTGGACCGGCAAATGTTGGGATTCGCTCAGTTCATGGTCGATGAGACTTCCTGCCGGAATCGGTTGAAGGTCCGGGAAAAAGAATATTGATAAAAAGAGTTTATAAAAAAATGGGGGTAGCAGAAACACACGCGCAAATTCCGGAAGGTCCTAAAAAGAAGCTTTTGTAAAAGTTGCCCTTTTTTTGGACCTTTTTCTAAAAAGATCCTTCTAATGAGCAAGGAAAGAAGAAACTGGAAAAAAGGAGCTTCAGCGAAACTTTTGACACCTTTTTAGGAATTCATGAAGAAGCTTTAGATTTTTTTGAATTTTTGTCAGATTTTGACGTGTAGCTGAGTCAAATGAAGCCATGAGAATTAGTTCCAGAAACTTCAGCTTGAAAAATTGAGTCTAGCAGATTGAAAGCAACGTTTTTCGGACACTCAGTCAAGAAAAATTTGCTAGAGTTTGGAATTTTTTTGGGAGAAAAACGTTTGAAAAAAATTGTTCCTAAAACACAAAAAAAAGCGTGAAAAAAGTTTTTTAGTAGTTTGAAGTTTCATAACTCGGAAACAAAAACTATTGCGAGAAAATTTTGTTTTTTCTGGAATCAGAAGGCCTTGAAGTATACTTCAGCCGAGTTTAATGAAATGTTCAAGTGGACAAGAAAGCGTTCCTAGCTAGGAAACATTTTTACCCTCTCCAGAAATTTCGAACATTTTTCTAATTTTTAGGAGCTTCCCCGTCGAATCGACATTGACTACCTGAAGCCGAGCGTCTTCACGCTCTCCAACGAACCATTTTTCCGATCCCTCATCAAAGCGTCCATCAAATATTCCATCAGTACCCTTGATTCTACCCGATTCTCTTCCGGAAATGAGAATTTTAAGCGCGCCAACTTCGGAAAGAACAAATCCCGATTCCGGCCGACCTGGGCCGGTCAATGCTCGGCGTCGTGGACGAGACTGGACGGCTACAGTATGGCCAGATCTTCGTCCAGTACACCAAGAACATTGCCTTGAAATTGCCGCCGGCGACCGCCGCCAAGGCCGTTCTGAAAGGTGCCGATGATGGAGTTTTACAGATTTAGGAAAGGAAAATAGTTGGGAAAGGCTTCGGAGAAGGAATTTTACAGATTTTGAAATGTTGAAACTCGAAATTTTGAACCGAATTGAGCAATGATTCACATCAAAAACCTCAAAAACTTCAAAATTTCTCAACTTTTTCCGAAATTCGCTCCAAATTTGGTGAATCCAACTGTTTCAAGCTTCTGAGTATGAGCTCTATCTTTTAAAATCGAATCGATAACTCAAATTACTCTGAGAAGCTCAATTTTTGAATAGGTAAAAGTTTAGAACTTCAAAAAATGAAGAAGAGGTTCAGACTTTTCTTGGAGACTCTGTGTTAAGAAAAAATATCAATCAAGTAATTTTCAGAGTAGTTTTTTTAAAATTTCGAACAGTTTCAAGGCTTTGAAAGCTTCAAATAAAGCATTTTTTTCCACAAACTGTAGTATGAACGATTTAAAAGCTTCACACCCTGTAAAAGCTCTATTTTAAAAGTTCTGCTGCTTTGTAGTTAGGCGGTCCAGTCATTAAAAGCCTGATTGGTTACTAAAAAAAAGTTGTGAGAACCATATATCGTTTTTCTAACAAAGTAGGTCATTTTACTTTAGATTTGCCTGAAAATTGACCAGAACGCTCCTTGATGTACCAGAAGAAGTTTCTGAAAGTCTCAATCTGCCCAACTTTCTACTTTTCGAGTGAAGACCCTGCAAGAAAACTCTTGAAATCTATTGAAATAAGCTGTTTTGGGGCTTTAGGCCCTTGTTTCTCGAAAACCAGGAAGTTGTGCAGGTTGATCCCTTCATAATTTTCTTCTGGTACATCATGAAGCGTTCTGGTCAATTTTTAACAAAAAATGAAAATTACCTCCCCTTCAAATTTTTTCACTGGCCAAATTCTTGAAAATTAGTAGTTATCTTTCCAGGCAAAGTTCTCCTGACGAAGAACCCGTGCATCGTGAGCGGCGACGTGCGCGTCTTCGAAGCCGTCGACATCCCAGAACTTCATCACATGCTCGACGTCGTCGTCTTCCCCCAGTGTGGCCCGCGGCCTCATCCTGATGAAATGGCTGGTCTAAAATGAATCAGAAGACCTGTCTGAATGTAGCAGTACAGGCTCCGACTTGGACGGTGACGAGTACTCGGTGATTTGGGACCAGGACCTGCTGCTGGACCGAAATGAGGAGCCCTTCGACTTCACTTCGGACAAGAAAAAGGAGAAGTTCGACGAGAGCGATGTGGTACGGAAATTTCTAGTGGAAGTTTCAGATTTGATGAAGAAGATAGGAAAAAAAAAAGAGCATGATTTGAAAAACTTGACACCAGATATCTTTTTAAAAAAAATTTTGAAGCTGTAGAGACTCAAAAAAGCTTCATAAATTCAACTCCTGTAAGGTCTAACCATGTGGGAAACATTCTAATGGTATTTAATAATGGTCTCGAAACGAAGAGCCTTTTTTAGGGCCTGCAAGAGCTCTGCGCCTTTAAATTTATCAGCTAGGAATTTTCAATAAAACCTATTTAGCAATATACTCTCTCAGAACTGGCTTCATGCAAAAGCTCTATTTCAAAAAAAAATTGACGATGTATTTAAAGGAGCATGGATTAGTTTAATAATAGTCTTGAAGGGAATAGTCGTTTCAAGAGTTATTTTAGGTCATGAAAAAGCTCTGCGCCTTCAAGTTTTTCAGCTAAAAATTCTCAGAAATCCTATTTAGCAATATATTCTCTCAGAACTGGCTTATGCAAGAGGTCTACATCAAGAAAAGCTTGGCGAAGAATTTAAAGGAGCATGGATTAGTTTAATAATAGTCTTGAAGGGAAAAGTCGTTTCAAGAGTTATGTTAGGTCATGAAAAAGCTCTGCGCCTTCAAGTTTTTCAGCTAAAAATTCTCAGAAATCCTATTTAGCAATATATTCTCTCAGAACTGGCTTATGCAAGAGGTCTACATCAAGAAAAGCTTGGCGAAGAATTTAAAGGAGCATAGATTAGTTTAATAATGGTCTTGAAGGGAAGAGTCGTTTTCAAGGGATGTTATGTTAAGTCATGCAAAAAAAGCTCTGCGCCTTTCAAGTTTTTTTCACCTAGGACATTTTAACTAACCTAAGCCCTTACTAACCAAAAAATGATTTTTAGACAAAATATATTTCTCTCAGGACCGGCTCTATGCAAGAGGTCTATATCAAGAAAAAGCTTTGGTGTACGAATTTTAAAGGAGCATGGATTAGTTTAATAATAGTCTTTCGAAAGGGAAAAAGTCGTTTCAAGAGTTATGTTAGGTCATGAAAAAGCTCTGCGCCTTCAAGTTTTTCAGCTAAAAATTCTCAGAAATCCTATTTAGCAATATATTCTCTCAGAACTGGCTTATGCAAGAGGTCTACATCAAGAAAAGCTTGGCGAAGAATTTAAAGGAGCATGGATTAGTTTAATAATAGTCTTGAAGGGAAAAGTCGTTTCCAGTGCTGTTTGAGGTCATGCAAGAGCTCTGCGCCTTTAAATTTTTCAGTTAGGAATTTTCAACTAACCTAAACCTTTCACGACCTCAAAAAGGAAGTTTTCGACAATGTCTTCTCTCAGGACCGGCTCATGCGCGAGTTCTACATCAAGAAAACCTTGGTGTAGTATTTAAATGAAAATAGATTGATTTAATAATGGTCTCGAGGTGAAGAGCCGTTCCCAATGCTATAGGTCATGCGACAGCCCTGCGCCTTTAAACCTTTCAACGAGAAATTCTCAACTAACCTGAGCCTTTAATAACCTCAATAATAATTTTGACAATGAATTCTCCTAGGACCGGCTCATGCGCGAGTTCTACATCAAGTACCTGAAGCTGGACTCGGTGGGAACCATCTCGAACAGCCATCTGCACTGCTCCGACCAGTACGGCCTCAACGCCAAAGTCTGCATGAACCTGGCCAAGAAAAATTGTCAGGCCGTCGATTTCACCAAGTCGGGCGACGCGCCCTCGCCTTTGGTCAACGTCTGGGAGAAAGGTTCTCGAAAATGACAGGATTTTGGGGCTAAATTCTTGATAGATCCCGATACGGACGAAATGATCCCGCCGGAAAGGCCGGAAAGAGTTCCGGACTTTTCACATTGGCAACGAGTACAGTCCGATGTACGTCAGCGCAAGACTCTGTGGCAAGCTCTTCAGGTGATTTGAGGGGGGAAATTGGAAATTGTGAAAGAAAATGTGTGTACAATAGTGTTCTAAAATTTGACCGTTCAGTTTTTCGAACGGTTATAACATGTCATTTTTCTGACCGTTAGTTTGACCGACCAGTTTCTGAAATTTACGAAACCGACTGAACAACAAAAATGCAATTTTTCTGTTGCCGTGTTCGAAATGATTCCGCGAAATTCAAAAAAGCCGCCAGAAAGTGAGAAATATAGAAATTTCGGAGATTCAGAGATCATTTTGAATTTCGCGAAAATTACTTTGAGCACGGCATGTGCTAGAGCGCCACGGTGCATGCACAGTATACTCTACACTTTACGCGAAAAATAGAAGCGTGGCGTCGTCAAGAAAATGCCGTGATTTTCATGTTTCTCTGACGTCGCCGAGGGAACAGAGAGACGCACAAGAGTGTACTATGAAACTATACCTTTTTGAAGATTAGAAAAGATAAATTTTCAAGATTTTTCCCAGTTTTTTCAAAGACTTCTAGGGAATAATAAACTGATTTCAGAGAAATCAAGGCGATTGACGATGTTTTGCGGATTTCCGAAGAACGAGACGAACAGCTGGAAATCACCATTGACTCTCAAATCCAAGTCCCAGGCTTCGAATTCCGCTTGGGCCAGGCCAGAGAGGAGCTCGCCAAATACAACGCTCAGCTTCGAGTTTGGAAAAACTGGAAAAAAGCTACGAAAAAAGCATAATTTCAGTCGTTGATGGAAAACTACGGGATCAGAACGGAGGGCGAGATTTTCTCCGGTTGCATCATTGAGATGAGAAATCGGATATCTGAAAAAGACCAGGACGACATGTCCTTCTACAACACGAATCAGATGCTCGAGACCAAAGTCTCGCTTCTTTTCAAAAAGTACCGCGAACAGTTCTTTGAGGTGCTTGACCTAATATGAAGATGTGGAATATTTGAAATCCTAGGAGTTTGGAGGATGGCAGATGTGCACGGAGAAGTCGACGCGCGCCTACGCCGACGAGTTGAACGTCCTGCAAAGGACTTGCAAAGACCCCTCGATGGAAATGCAGAAGAAGGCCGTCGCCTACTACCGCGCTTGCTATGGTTCGACTCCTCTTAATGTCTTATTTTATTACAATTTTCTTTTTCTCTTCATTTCATTTATTCTTACGGGTGTACAGCCAATGTTCTCTTATCCAATGTAGTCCGTTTTTCGCGGGACTTCTCTGCGCCCTCCTCGAGGTCTCTCATGTTTACGTGCTATTTTCATGTTTCTCTGACCTCGCCGGTGAGGGAAAAGAGAGACGCAGACGCGCGAAAAAACTCTTTCCTCCTTCTCTGCGCCCTCCTCATATCTCGACGTCTCTCTTGTTTACGTGCTATTTTCATGTTTCTCTGACCTCGCCGGTGAGGGAACAGAGAGACGCAGACACGCGAAAAAACTCTTTCCTCCTTCTCTGCGCCCTCCTTATCTCTCGACGTCTCTCTCCTGTTGACGTGCTATTTCCATGTTTCTCTGACCTCGCCGGTGAGGGAACAGAGAGACGCAGACAAGCGAAATCCGGAAACGGAGCATGAAAAGAGCGCGTCAAAATGAGAGGGTCACCGAAAGACAAGAAGGGCGCAGAGAGGTCCCGCCCTTTTCAAGTCGCAAAAAACGTATATGCTCACCCAAGAACTAGGCACCGTAAATACAGGCTCTTGCTTTACAAAACTAAAAATAAGCAAAGAATTCGTGAATAGACAAAGCCAGAAATAGCACATTCCACATTTCAGCATGTCAAAAAAATTTTTCGGCCAAAAAGACCGTATACCAAATTTGATCAGATTCGAGCCCCACCTCGCTTCAAGACCTTTTTTCTCGCTGTATTTTTTTAGTTAGCAGTTTTGTAAAGTCTGTAGTATCTTTTTTTCGGCTGTTCTTTCGAAACGCGATCGTCTCAAAATGCTCTCAAATCAGAGGCCGCCTGCTAGGAAGGGGTAAATACGTGTACCGTGTTATCCGTAATGGTAAATTGCTCACAAACGCGACGAAAGCCTCCACCATTTTTTTGGTTACGGTATTAGGAAAAAGCTTTTTAAAAATTTATAGGCTATTCCGCGCCAGCTTTTCACAGTTTTTATTACCCTCCGAGCTGGAGAATCATACCGTTTGAAACGCGCGGGATTTTTCTCTGCATGCGCCTTTTATTTGGCTTAAAGTGCTGTTATATTAAAGGCGCATGCAGAGATAAAGATCCCGCGCATCAAAGGGAAGGGTTCTGTGAGACGGAGACGAACGGAATTCGTGAAATGCTGCCGCGGAATGAGCTACGGCACTTTATTGAATGGAGCCGTAGAGAACTGTTACAAGATAAAAATTTTTAAATCAAACGTTCACGAATTTAGAAAAAAGAGAAAAAAATGATCTAGTTTGTGTCGGAATGAACCTTCTGTTTGAAAAAAAAATGATTAAAACTCCAATTTTTTAATTTTCGCAGAACTCTGTATGATACCCTTTCAGTTTGAAAATTTTTCATTGGATTCCTCCAGAAGAGGCCAAAACGACGCGAGAAAACAAGAAGCTCTCGTTCGCCTGGCTCGCCTACGACGTCCTCTACACGGTCCGACTCAATTCCATCCTACAGAGCGACGTTTCGACCGGAATCAACCCTCTCTACACCGTTTACTCCACCCGATCTTCTCTCAGAACTTGAGGAATTCAGATGTTGGAATCGCACAGAGACCAGTATATCCGCGAGAATTTCGCCGCCTTTGAGGAGTACCTCCGCTTTGAGCCCGATTCCCCGTTTGACAACCGCATCGGGCAGGCCAACAAAATCCTTCAAATGTACATTATAATCTATCCGGGTCTGTTTTGGGGTCATAGTCAAGCACGGGCAAAGTCGGAAAGGGTGCTCCATAGAAATGTTCCTTTTAGGGTGAGATGGGTTACTTTTTTGCGGCCTTTTTGCACCCTTTTATTGTCTGTTATGCATCATTTTTGAGCCGTTATCAACTATTCCGACTTTGCCCGAAAATTTACCTGAGTCGTAAGGTGTTCTACCGTAGTCACGCGTTGCGGTTGCGGCGCGGCTTTTGGTGCGAAATCGGGTTTTCGAATAGGATTAGGCTTTTTTCTGCTAGATTTCAGGTTTTCTTAGTAGAATAGGCTATTTGTTGAGTATCTGGGAACATTTTTAGTAGCCACTTTAGGGTTACAAAGTTCTAGTGGTCACTATAGTAGTCGAATTGGTGGCCACTCAAGTGACGGAAGTTTAATGGCCTTATAAGGAGTCTAAGTGGTGCTACTAGACCATTGAAAACCGCTAAAGTCGTTTCTGTAGAGGTAGTTTTAGAGGCCACTTTAGTGTCCTCTTCAAGGTGTCCTTGAGAAACCACTTAAGTGACCGCTACAGTGTTTCCCAGGTGGGGCTGTACTTTAATGAATTATCGTCCACTTAGAAATTTAATGAATGCGAAAAATGATTTACTCCCAAAAAATCGCCGTATCAAAATTTTTCATGAGTTTAATGAAGGAATACAAAAAAGTCAGTTTTCGCGTTAAAAATTTGAATTTCCCGCCAAAATCCGGGTCTCGATCGAAAAAAGTTACTGCGATGATCAGGAAGCTTTCGAGTCAGGGAAAAGTCGCTATGTAATTTTTAAAAAAACTGATTTTTCGATTACAGGCCTTGAAAGGGTTTTGTTCCTTCTCTACGAGTGGGCCAGAAGAGCCCAATTGCTCGAAAAAGGCTTCAAAAAGCACCATTTCGCCTTCCTTTTGATCCTTTTCGCCACACGGCATTTTGGATCGGTTGACGGAAAAGCTGCGGCGATTTTTGAGAAGGTGAATGATCCAGAAAAATTGGAAACAGAAAAAAGAAAATTTTATTGCAAAAGAAGAGCCGAACAAGTTGGAAAGAAGCATGTAAAAAATTCAGGGTCTCAGATTTAGGGTCCGTGAAAATGGGCCTACTTTCCATTTTTTAAGGGTTTTGAAGCATGTAAATAACTAGAAAAATAAAAATTATGAATATCTTGCTTTGTGAATTTATAAAATAAGTTTGAGAACAAGAATAAGCCATTTCCTTTTTTAAAATGCAATTTTTTCCACCCTCCTAGTTATACCAGTTCCTTTTTGAATAAATAGCGATTGCGAAAAAATTCTTGTAGTTTTATCGCTGCCACTTTTTATGCAGGCCTTTCCTATCGAAGTATTTTTTTAATAGGCTTGAAGGGTTGCAGAACGCTTGATATTTTGATTTTTTCCAGATCGACGAAGCTGAGTACCAGCAAGGAAATGTGAACGCAGCTCCGCTGAGTGAGCTCGATCAATCGCGACTCCTCATCTCGTTCTTGGAGTTTTTGTCGTCGCGAAAGTTCCGCAAGCTCGTGCGGATCAGCTTCTTGCCCATCGGCTTTTTCGCCGTGTTCACGAGGAACCAGTGGATCCCGTTCCATGTGGTGCGTGGTTCTGGGTGGGATAATGGGTTTGATTAGAAGAAAAAAAGGAGTTTTGATTAGGGGGGGGGGCCTTAGAAATGTTTTTATTTATTTTTAAAGTGAATAAACTGATGATGATGAGGGAAAAATCTCTTCGAGAAACGCAAAATTAGTCAATAAATCAAGTTTATCAAAAATTATTCTACTTTTTAAATGAAACACCGAGTCTTTCTTCATTATTGGTGAAAAATTCATTGCGGTACCTTTTAAAACTGGAAGAGATGTGAATTTTCGAAAAAAAACCCATTTTTGGACCTTTGGCGACTTATAACTCTCTCGACACGTTTTTTTGACACTGCTAAAATAATCAGCGTAAAATTCTCTACAACATATGAGAATATCAAAAAAGTGACTCGTTTTTCTGAGATCCTGTCCCTGTCATTTTAGAGTACCCTTTTTCGAAAACAGGTTCAGAATTCAAGAAAAATTGGTTGATCAAGTTTTTGGGCCAAGTTCAAGAAATATTGAGTTTTAACATTTTTTTTTCATCTGTTTCTTGAAAAAACAAAGCTACAGATTGAACTAGGAATGAGGAAACTAAAAAGAATTCGAAAAAAAAAAACTTGCAGGATAAATTTGAGAACATCTCAATCTTGAAAAAGTCCATATTCTGTCTTGTAAGCCATATCTACAAAATGAAGCTTTCATAAATTGGCCATCTCCCTTTTCAAGGCCGCCCTGAAGACCTTCTACAACATGCAGTTCAACCTGCGGTTCGAGGAGCTTCCCGTCTCAACGGACCCGGCGGTGACCAGTCGGACGATCATCCGCGAGAGCGAGCCGTTCATCATCGAACTGCCCAGCAACATTGACGAATCCGACGTCCGACGCAAATTGCTGCACTTCACCGGCCTGGAAGACGTCCAACTCCGCTATCTTAAGACCCAGAAAGTCCAGGAGAATCGTTGGTTCTTCCCCGTGATGACAGTGAATCTTTGATCTCTTCAGCTCGATATTTGGTCACTTCGAGGGGCTCTCTGGAGGCTTTCTACAAGTTGCGACAGCTGGTGGCCGTCAAGGTGAGGAGGAAAGAGTCTTGAAAAAAGAGAATATTTTTTTCTTGAGTGATTTTGAACACTAGAGGGATGCAAAATATATAAATTAGCTTGGAAGAGATGAAAAAATGCTTGTAAGAATAGTAGGAACATCTTTTTCAATGGCACATGGATGTTACTGGAACTTAAACGGCCAAAAAAGCTCGAAGGCACCTTTTTTTGAAACGGACCTTTCAAGAAGTTAGACTCTTTTTTTAGGCTTTTCGAGGCCCTTTGCACTTTGTCTGTGTTATGGAGTTGGCATAGAAATTTAACGAATTTTATTTTTTTTTAATCGATTGGGATCAGTTAGAAACATCGATTTTTCTATTTTATGAAGAAACCTAATTAAGGTCAAAATTCAAATCGAAATTCTTCAAAATTCTCTGATTCTTAATTAGAAATATGCGAGCTAATGTATGGAATGAATAAAGAAAAGTTGAAAAAAGGCAATTTTTGGACATCGGGCAAAGTCGGAATGGTGGCTAATGGCCGCTAAAAGGCACAAAAAAGGCCGCAGAAAGGCAGTAAAAAGGGTCCCTTTATCGAGCCTTCCATTTTTCCTGGGAGAGAAATGGTAGAAAAAGGAAGAGGCAGCAAAAATGCTCCATAAAAGCCGATGAAATGGCGCAAAAAGGCAGCAAAAAAGGAGCCTTTGTCATCCTAAAAGGAACATTTCTATGGAGCCTTTTTCCACCCTTTCGACTTGGTCTATGCTTGAAAAACGATTTTTAAAATGAATTTTTCATGGCAAATCCCTTTAATCAGGTACCCCTGAACAACTCGGTGACGGGCAAGGAGATCTCTACCCAACTGGCCACGCTCCGCCTCCAGAAGATCAACGCCGGCCAGCTCTCCTGTGTGTGAAAGAACCCGATGAAAATCAACGTCATAATAAATATCATTTTCGTCTAGTCATTTTGTCTCAATTTTTACACGTTGTATTCATACTGGTTTCATCGTTTGCTCATTTGTTTTTGTTGAATAATAAAGAGTTTTATCCTTATTTTGATTCTTCTTGAATAATCGTTTTATTCGAGACGCTTTCTTAAATCTTGCTTTTGAATTTTCGTCACTGAATTTTCAGAAATGACTTCGCGTATCGCTTATTATTTTACTGCCATGAGATCCTATCGGCCTTCAAATTTATTGAAAAGCTTGGCCCGGCCGGATGATAAAGTGGAGAGTATTGAATCGAAAAGGTGAAAAAAAAATTCTTAGAAGCTTCTTGATTTGAAAAATAGGATAACTAAACAATTTTCGTTTCAAATAAGCTTGGGAACGTGAATTAGACCGGTTTTCACATATAGCTGATTCACGGCTGACTTGAGCCATCGAAAAAAGGGTCCTGACACGATAATGCGCGAGATAGCGCCTGGCTTGTGGAGAGCGCAGACAGGAAACGCCCCCTTAGCGTCTCAATCAGCTATAACACTGCCAAAGTCGGGAGTGTGGAAAACGGGTCCAAAATGGACGCTAGAAGGGTTCCGTTTTGCGGCCTTTATTGAGCCTTTCTTTCTTGGTGGGCTAAAAAGAGTCGAAAAAGGGTGCTGAAAGTATCGGGTATTGATGATTTCCGATGATATAACTGTAGCACATTTTGGTTCATACACAGTCACTGGTGAAGATTATTCTCAATTTAAAAAAATGTCTCAAAAGGGTCCAAAAAGGGTGGATAAAGGCCGATGAAAGGACGGAAAAAGGCAGTAAAAAGGAAACCGTTGGCACCCGTTTGGGAACAATCTGAGAAGCTTTTGATCCATAACGGACGCTCAAAGGGTCCCTTAAGGGTCCTTCCGACTTTGCCTAAGGCCAAAAAAAGAATTTTTTAAACTTTAAGCCTCGAAAATTTGAGAATTTTGCGGTCGAATGAAATTCCTAGTGAAATAAAACTCCCTTGACGAGTATCGATATGAAATAAAGGTTCGAATAGCTATTAAAAATAGAGTCGCTAAAAGTTCACGCATCAGTGAATTTTCCAGATCACGACTATTATACCAAAGCAAGAAACGGGGAATCCTCGAAAATGACATAATTTTGGGCGAATTCGCCGAGAAATACCTCAAAACGATGTCCCCACAGGAGCTCGAATCGTATCACAAGGTTTTTGATCGTTTCATCATCGAAAAAAAAAAGAAATTCAGCTTATAAACGGAGAGCACATGGAATGGGACCTCTTCTACTTTCTTTCCGGTAGAAAATCGCCGCCAGAAGATGTCGCGAAATGCTCCGTTTATCAAAAAGTGAAGCAATTTGTCGATGACAAAAGAAATGCTAGGAATTGATTCGGAAAAATGTATATTTTAGTTAAATTTCATTCTTTGTACCATTTCTCTTGCATAATTTCATGCTAATAAAGGTTTTTTTGTTGTTTTAACATACTTTTTACTCAGAAAACGTGAATTATCGAAATATTTTCGAAAGAAAAACCGCGCCCTGATGTTCACTTCTGTGCACCAGATTGCGTATTCGGTCACGCCCCTTTTTTTGAAAATTTTTTTTGTGAACGCGTTTTGAATGTTTTAAGAGAACTGAGGATGTTTCTACCTTTCCGAGGGATCACTGAAGGGACGTCAGACCTACTCTAGTCATCACTCTAAATTTATATACCGCTTCTCTGGTGTTCGCCTCGGAAGGATGGAAAAGTTCTCTTGTTTTCGGAATTTTATTGTAAAAATATGTCAAAAAGCAATTTCAGGATGGTTTTCGACCCGAGGACGTTAGATAATGATAAGGATATCAGTCAATACCGTGATCAGAGATTCCAGGTGATTCATTTTTTATTTTCATGATCTTGGTGTCGTTTTTTTCTTTTTCTATGTAAACTTGTGGTGTTTTTAACGATAGGAAGAGAAATTTTTCATCGAAAAGCGTCTTTTTTATACTGAGAAGCTTTTAAAACAACAGAATCTGCCTGTTCGGGGTCTTGTGAAGTTTAATCTTTGATTTTTTCAAGGCCACTTTTTATTCTTCATAAAATTCCGTTTTAGTAACAAAGTAGTTCTAGCTTAAACTTGAAAACGGAAAAAAGCTTGAAATTCAATTTTTAGAAGTCATATTGTGTTGTTCTATGTTTCTGTGTGAAATGAATATTCAAATTATCCGTTTTGATATAAAATTTAGCGATTTTTCTTTTTCAGGGATCCATGAGAGATCAAGAAGTCGCCTTGCGAACCTCGACCACGCTTTATATTGGAAACTTGTCTTATTATACGAAAGAGGATCAGGTTTTGCTTATTTCCTTTGTTTTAAATATAATAAATGAATTTTTGAAGGTATATGAATTATTCGGCCGTGCGGGCGATGTTCGGCGTGTCATTATGGGCCTGGATCGGTTTAAGAAAACCCCTTGCGGTTTTTGTTTTGTTGAGTAAGTTAATATTACTATTATTTTGATGATTTTTGTTGTATATGGTTCATTCTAATGACGAAAATTGCATTTTATTAAGGTGAAAGTGTTTGGAAATCGACAAAAAAGTTAGTTTTTTGGAGAATTTTGGGCCGCTGGACGAAAAATGACTATTTATTTAGGCTTCTTTGACTTTTCCACTTGTTTTCTATGTAAGCCTGTTCAGGACAGTAGTATTAAGGAAGTTTTTAAAGGTTTTTCGGTTGAAAAATTGAATTTTTTGAACTTTTCGTGACGTGACTCATCTTGTTATCTTGAGAGAAAAGGTTAAATTTAGATTTCAAAAAGTTTTTTTGGCTCCAAAACTGACGGCAGAGGTTGTTTCTAAAGGTTTTTCCGGCTGTAAAATTGAAATTTTTTGACTTTATCGAGACGTGACTCATCTTGTTACCGCAAGAAAAGAAATTCAAAAAAATTTAAAAAAATTTAAAAACTTTCTGGCTGCGAAACTAACGGCGTATTTAGTTTGTAAAGGTTTGTCGGTTGGAAAATGGGAATTTGTGAATTTTTTTGTAAAGTAACGCATTTTGCTATCTTGTGAGAAAGGCCCTTAACAAAAAGAATTTCTAAAAAAATTTTTAAATTTCCCTGCCTCAGAAACTAACGGCGTACTTCGTTTGTAAAAGGTTTTTCCGGTTGTAAAATTGAAATTTGTAAACTTTTTGTGACCTGACTTTTGATGCCTTGAGAGAAAGATCCTGAACAAATTTTTGAGAAATTTTTAAAAAAATTTGAAAATTTCCTGGCTGCAAAATTGAAGGCGCAATATTGACCGTCCGCCCGAGCAGCGTCAAAAAATGCGTGGATTTAAGTTAAAAGAAAATTAAAAAGTCAATTTTTCGCTCAAAATTTGTACATTTTTTCGTTATTTCTGTGATTTTTTGGACCTGAGTAAGCGTTTTTTTTCCAGATATTACACCCGGGAGGACGCTGAAGTGGCCCTGCAATGCATCACCAATACCCGGCTCGATGATCGGATTATTCGTTGTGATTGGGACGCCGGATTCCTCGAAGGACGACAATATGGCCGTGGAAAGCATGGAGGGCAGGTGGGGAAAAAGAAAACCTATATAAGTTTCAGAAATTGTTCAAGAAAACCTTATAACTTTGGAAATACATCGAAATCCAGCTTCAAAATTAGTATTTTTAATAGAATTTCAGAGAAATTATTCTTGTAGTTCTCAATTGATTTATTGTTTCTTGAGAGCCATCCTTTTCAATATTCAAAAAACTATTTTTGGAGCGTCAGCCCATTTTTCCTGAATTTCAAGGTTTTCCGATAAATTCAGCTTTTAAAGGCGCAGGGTTGAACTGAAAATCAATCTTTACAGGATCAAAAAATCGAGTTTTGTGTAGATTTTTTAAAGCTATGCCTTGTCCCTTTAAAAACATGTGTATGGTCCAAATAATATCTTCAAAAAAACGGAAACTTAAAGACGTAGTCTTTTGAACGACCTTTTCTATAGCCCATTCCGCGACAGCTTGTCACGTTTTTATTTCCGCTAAAAAAGACCGAATTCAAGATGAATATTGAGCATCTTCGCTTCAAGACCTTTTTTTGCTGTACTTTTATCAATTTTGTAGTGCGAAAGTTGTTATTTACGGTTCTTTTTTCTTTTCTGTTCTTTTTAAACGTGACCGTGGAACGCCCTATAAATATCCCTGTGCTGATTTTTGAACGAACTGTAGCTTTTTCAACTTTTTCTGACTAGTTTTAAAATTTAAATTGAGCATTTTGAACGGTAATTTTAAGCATAGTTGGGTGAGTTTCACCGGGAAAAAGTTCTAGTGGCCACTTTAGGGTTTTGATATTCTAGTGGTCACTATAGTAGTCGAACTAGTGGCTAAAAATTAGTGGCCTATTTAAAAATCTAGGTGTACTACTAGTTCACTAAAACTACTATAGTGGCTTCTATAGTAGTGGGTTTAGTGGCCACTATAGGGTTTTGACGTATTAGTGGCCACTGTAGTAGTCAAATTAGTGACCACTTAAGGGGTTAAAAATTAGTGGCCACTATAGAGATCTAAGTGCTACTACTAGACCACTAAACAGTTTAGTGGCCACTTTAGGGGGCAATGGATCATCGTAACTGGTCCAATCTGTTTTTTTTTTAATTATCAGAGTTACTGGAAGGAATACTGGATGAAAAACTACAGAAATGGCCACTAAATAGGGAACCTCTATTGTGGCCACTGAGACGAAAAAGAACGGCTTATATAGAAGTGGATTCAGTGGCCACTTAAGCGTCCTCTCCAAGTAGTTCCTGAGGAATCTCTCAAGTGGCCACTAGAAATTTTAAGTCGTGAAATCAAGCCAGATTGCCCGGGAGTTTCAATTAATCATTTTTAGGTCCGTGACGAATATCGCAAGGACTTCGACCCGGAGCGAGGCGGCTGGAACCGAATGATTGCTGGAAGAGGTTGGAAATTTTCGTTTCGAGACCCTTTTCATTCAAAAAAGCTCACTTTTCCAGCCGAAGCGAATCCGATGGGAGCTCAATAAATGCCGTTTTTTTTTCCTGGCTCAACGGGAACTTGAGAAATTATTTCGTCGAGTTGTGAAAATGTTTTTTTTTTTCTGTTATTTTTCGGAAATATATGATTTACTCAAATCGTTGAAAATTTGCGATTTTCGGGGAATGTTTACAAAGGGGGGGTCATGTGGGGAAATAGCATTAAAAATCGGGGTTAAAAATCTCTTGAAAAAGTTTTTTTAGGGCTCAAAATAGCTTTGAATTGTTATTTTCGAGCTCAAAATCACTTTAAAATGTTTTTTTAGGGCTCAAAACTACTACAAAAAATCACGATATTTCTTCGAGTTGGACTAAAAATGGGCCTTCTATCTTAGGAACAAGGAAAAATCTAGGTTAAGGCTTGAAATAATCAAAAATACATGGTAAAGAAGGGGCATAATCGATCAAATAAAACAAAAAAAGCGATTCAAGAATTAATTTTTAAAGACGACTGGTTCCGGCCCACATGACCCATCCGGGCAGCTTCACCCACGACGGAATCAGCGACGCCGTCTTTTTCCACCCGAAAAACTCGATTATCCAACTGACGCTTCGCAGATTGCCCGGCGTTGAACCTGGAATCTCGGTTTTGATGACAAAAAAAGCATTTCGAGCTGAAATTCAACCTTTAAAAAAACCCCTAAAATCACAATTTCGAGCCAGGGTCTTTATGAAAAGAAGTTATTTCAATCTGAAGTTCAAGCTTTAAAAAACCGCAAAAATAGAAATTTTGAAACGAGTTTTTAATGACAAAAGCTTGTTCGAATCTTACAAGAGCCCCCTGAAACCGCATTTTCGAACAATATTTCATCAGAAAATTTTTTTTGAACCTGAAATTCAACTCTAAACGAACCCTAAACCTAATAGAAAAAGAACTTTTGAAGTTGAAAAAAAGAATCCCCAAAATCTTAACTTTGGACAATTTTTCGATGAAAAAATACTACTTCAACACGAAATTCAACTTCAAAAAATCCCTGAAATCCTTATTTTGAGCCAGGGTTTTGATGGAAAAACCGCATTTCAAGCTTAAATTCAACCTCTAAATAACTCTAAAAAAATTACAAGGTTCCGATTACCAAAACTCACTTAAACCTTGAAAGAACCCCTTGAAACTATATTGGAACGATATTTTAACAAAAAAAAATTTTTTTGAACCTGAAATTCAACTTTGAAGGACCCTTAAAATCACTTATTTTGAGCAAGGTTTTGACAGAAAAAAAATTTTGAACCTTGAAAGAACCTTAAAGATCAGGATTTTGAACAAGGTTTCAATGACAAAAGCTTATTTGAACCCTAAAAGAACCCCTAAAAGCACAATTTCGAACGATGTTTTAACAGAAAAAAGGGGTTTCAACCTGAAATTCAATCTTATAAAAATCACAATTTCGAGCCAGGTATTAATGGAGAAAAAAATTATTTTTAAAATCCTATTTTTTTCAAAGGTCAACAAATTTATAACAGTTGAAAATTGAGAGGTGAACAATTTTTTTCTAGCTTCCAAGTTTTTGTATTGAAGCCTCTCACTAGAATTGGAAGTTATGAAAAAAAATATTCATTCAATATTTTTTTATAATGAATCTTTGATACATCTAGAACTTTAAAAGAAGTCTTGAAAATTGAAATTTTAAGATTTATCGATTTTATTTTTGATCCTGAATCTTTTTTGAAACCCAAAAACGAACCATCAATATCCTTGAATCCGTACTCGGAGCCCAAGTCCTCGGTGATCAGGATTTTGCCAGTTTTATTGAGGCGTTTGGAATCTTTGGCGAGGGCGACGACGGCCTTGCCGGCGTATTCCGTCGATTCGCCCCGGGAGAACATTTCCGAAGTCTTAATTAGTTAATTAATAAGGGATACGAAAAATCTTTCTTCATATTACGCTCAATCTTTTCGAAACCCTACATACATGGGCAAAGTCGGAAGGACCCTTTAGGGGCCCTTTGAGGATCCATTATAGATCAAAAGGTTTCCATTAATGGCTCCTAAACGGGTTTCCTTTTCACAGCCATTTTCCGTCCTTTCACCAGCCTTTATTCATCCTTTTTGGACCCTTTTTGCATCCTTTTTGGACCCTTTTTGCATCCTTTTTGGACCCTTTTGAGAAAAACAGAATTTTTCAAATTGACAATGATCTTTACAAGTGACGGTGTATGAACCAAAATGTGCTACAGTAATAAAATCGGAAATCATAAATTGGCCGAGACTTTCAGCACCTTTTTGGACCCTTTTTGCACCCGTTTCGCACCATTTATTCATCCTTTTTGGACCCTTTTGAGAAAATTTTTTAAATTGAGAATAATCTTTACCAGTGACTGTGTATGCACCAAAATGTGCTACATCAATGGCCCAGACTTTCAGCACCCTTTTTGGACCCTTTTTGCACCCATTTCGGACCCTTTTTGGACCCTTTTGGACCTATTTTGCACCCTTTTTGCACCCTTTTTGGACCCTTTTTGCACCCATTTCGGACCCTTTTTGGACCCTTTTTGGACCTATTTTGCACCCTTTCTCCACCCTTCTGTGATGCTTTTTAGCCCACCAAGAAAAAAGGCTTAATAAAGGCCGCAAAACGGAAACCTTTTAGCGGCCATTTTGCATCCGTTTACCGCTCAGGAAAAGAAGAAAAACCTCTTTTTTTGAATTTTTTTATTTAAATTTTTCTTCAATTTTGTCAGCAAAATTCATTGGAATATGTAAAAAAACCAAGCAGATTTTTTTGCAAGGTCACGTTTTTTTCAATTAATTAACGTTTGTTTGTTTGTTTTTTTGTCGGAAGGACCTTTTCACGTTTTTGAAATGTGTTTCGATCATTGCTTCCGATCCAGAAAGTCCTACGTTTCGCGACCTACATTAATATCCTTCTATTCGATGTTCTTCAGTTTTGAAAAACATCAAAAGAAATAGAAACTCAAAAATCAAAAGATCCAACCCATCGGGTCATAATTATCGTAAATAGGGTCGTAAAAAAGATTCACTTCAATTTTCACAGTTCTAAAAAAAATATGTTCAATTTTTTGTGCAATGAAACCAATTTTACGATGAACCTTGGCAAAAATAAATTAAATTAGATAGAAAATTACAGAAGCTTCAGTTTCCGAGTCAGTTATCAATGACCGAGACTTTCAGCACCCTTTTTTGACCCTTTTTGGACCCTTTTTGCACCCCTTTTCACCCTTTTGAGGCTTTCTAGCCAACCAAGAAAGAAAGGCTCAATAAAGGCCGCAAAACGGGAACCTTTTAGCGGCCATTTTGCAGCCTTTTTTGAGCCTCTCCTTTCTAGCAGCCCTGACACACCATTCCGACTTTGCCCTAGTATTAAACTCTATGTCTGCGATCTGAAATCCCGCCACAGTCTCGAAAATGACAGTCATTACAACTCCAGAAGGTTTCCGAAAGATCAAACTACACACAAAAAGTTTTCCGTGATACAAGTTCAAAAATTCACGATATCATTTCTAGCGTTGCCTTCCTGGTAGGATTTGACGAGTTCCGTCTTGACGGGTCCCGGCCAAATCGAGACGACCGTGATGTTGTCCTTCTGAATAGTTAGAGAATAGGTTAATTGTTGCGAAATCCTTATTTCAGTCCTTTTTTTCGGCTTGGAACGGAAAAACACGTTTTGATTCAATTTTCTTCACTTTAAAGTTCAAAAAACCCTATTTTAGGCCTTGAAAAATGACAGCTTTTTCGAATTTTCGTAAAAAGTTTCAGAAAAAGGACCTTCCCACAATGTAAATCAAGATAATTCCTTCAATTTTATGACTTTTCAAAAAAAATAGAACCTTTTCAACATGTGGGAAAAGTTCAAAAAAGGGCTAAGAAGCTTTAAAAAAATTTCTTTTATTTTAATTATGGTCAGATTTTTTCTTTTCGATCGGAGAACTACATTTTAAAGACCCTTCTTAGACATTTTAGAGTGGTCCCTATAGGGGCTAGGGGAAAAAACAGCTACTGGAGGGGCGGAAAAGTAGTCTCTTTAGGGGTAAAATCAAAGGGGTCCCTATAGGGGTTTAGAGTCGGACCCCTTAGCTTACAAAGCTTAAGTGGTCTCTTTAGGGATCTTCAATTGATTCAAAAAAAGGTTATTTATTTAGTTTTTCGCATGGAAATGCTTCTTCGCCTAGAGTTCATAAAAATTATCCATTAGCATTTCCCCTATAGGGACCACTTTTGTGAGCTTTAGTGGCCCCTATAGGAGGTGACAAATTAAACTGGGAAATTTTTTAGTGGCCACTTTAGAGGCTCGCCATGGACTTCTTGGAGAGGAGACTAAAATGGCCACTAAACCCACCTCTATAGTGGCCACTATTTTCCTTTTTAGTGGCCACTTTAGTAGTTTTTCATCCAGTATTCCTTCCAGTAACTCTGATAATTTTAAAAAGAAACAGATTGGACCAGTTATGTTGATCCATTTACCCCTAAAGTGGCCACTAAGTGGTCTAGTAGTAGCACTTAGACCTCTATAGTGGCCACTAATTTGACTACTCTAGTAACCACTAAAAGGTCAAAACCCTATAGTGGCCACTAAAAATTTTCCCAGTGTTTTTTCTTTGAAAAATTGTTTTTTTCTGTTCTGCCCAAGAGAATCCTTGAGAAGATAACCATTTTTCGCTTGAAAAAAATTCAAACCTTCAGTTCAACGGCGGTATCAGCCGCCAAACGGTCCAGGGCCTGTTTTCCAACCCCGTAGGCCACGTTGAAAAAGTACCTTTAAAAAATAAGTTTTGTCCGATTTTCTATCAATTTTTAATTACTTCAATCCGCCAGCCGAACTGATATTGACGATAAGACCACTTCGCTGTTTCACCATCAATTTTGCGCCGTAGACCGAGCAGAAGTAGTGGTTCCTTAAGGGTTTTTGATTGGAAAATGGTCATTTTAGGCTAAAAATTTTTTGAAAAATCCAGAAAAGTTATACAAAACATGAAGTGGTCCCTTAAGAGTTTTCGATGAAAAAAATGGTGGTTTTTGGGCCTAAAATTTCATTTCAAAAATAAAGAGAATGTCCAGAAAAAAATCATATAAACAAAATAAGTGGTCCCTCAAGGGTTTCTGATGAAAAAAAGGTCATTTTTTTGGACTGAGAATTTTTTTAAAAGTTCAGAAAAAAATCATATAAACAACATAAGTGGCTTCTTAAGGGTTTCTTATGAAAAAAATGGTCATTTTTTTGGTTTGAGATTTTGAAAAACCTTGAAAAGTGTCTATAAAAAAATTATATAAACAAATGAAGTGGTCCCTTGAGGGTTTTTTTGATGTAAAATAGTCTGAGAATTTATTTTTTTAGATCTAAAAAAATCTAGAAAAAAATCATTTAAACAAATAGATTGGCTTCTTAAGGAACTCTAATGAATGTTAAGCTGAAAATTGAAGAAAAAAATTTAGAAAAACGACTAGAAAAATCAAATAAACAAAATTAATGGTTCCTCAAGAGTTCCAAGCAAAATTTACAATTTTTTTGATACCTTCAGAATTTTTTTGAAAAATTTTTCTCTCTCTTTAGAAAGTTCTATGGAGACGTAACGTGGTTTCTTAAAGCTCTAAAAATTTTTTTTTGGATGTAAAAATTCTAAAATTCGACAATTTTGCAGTGAAATCAACATCAAAACTTGATTTTTTTCCGATCAATATTTCAAAATTTACCTCAATCCAACATTATTGACCGTGTCCCAGAAGTAGGGATCCTGTTCGTAGAAGGGAATCCCGCTACTTTCCATGATCGCCTGGAAAATTTTGCTTTAATTTTTGAGAAGAATAGCTTTTTCTCATTCCAAATTAGGTGATCCGGCCACAAACTTAGCCTAAAATCGACGATTTAGCCAAAAAAAAAATATTTACCTTAAGGTCCAGGCTCAAATTTAGCTCAATACTCGAAAACTTTGGTGTAAAACCTTTGAAAATCTACGAATTCAGGGTCTCAAAAAATACAAAATATTCCCCGTAACAGTCCGAGAAGCGTTGCGGACAAGAAAAATAGGAAAAATGGCACTTTTTTTCTTTTTTGAATCGAAAATCTAGCCCTAAAGCCAGTTAAAATTGATCGTTTTGGTTTAAAATCTTTAGAAATCTACAATTTTAAGACCTCAAAAAAATCCAAATATTCCCCGTAACATCCCAATGATCATTAATAACAGAAATATTGTCATTTTTCTCTTTTTTTGAATCGAAAATTAGCTTAAAAATTCGAAGATTTTGGTGTCAAACCTTTGAAAATCTACAAATTTAGGGCATTGAAAAAAATTAAACTATCCTCCGAAATAGTCCTAGAAGCGTTGCGGACAAAAAAATAGGAAAAAAATGATATTTTTTTCTCTTCAGAATTGAAAATCTAGCCCTAAAAAAACCAGCTAAAAATTGGAAATTTTTTTGCTGAAAAACTTAGAAAAAAATTTTTTTGAAAAAAACTGAACATTACCACCGTAACAGTCCCATAAGCATTGTTAACGATAAAATCATAAAGTCATTTGATTTTTTTCATGAAGAAAGATTTTTTTGAATAAATCTAGTTCAAAACTTGGCAAGAAATCGCAAATTTCGGCTCTAAATGTGAATTTTACCCCTGAAAAAAACCTGGAAATTCATTCCTCGTAACGGCCTGATAGACACTGCTGACAAAAAAAAACAAAAATAATGTCTGTTTTTTGAAATAGGAAATCTAGCTCTAAAATTAGTTGAAATCAGGCATTTTTATAAAATTCTGTATACCTTACTTTCAAAAGATCCATTACCAAAATTTGAAAAAAGCGCAAATTTAGGCCAAAAATCTCAAATTTTAATCCCTAAAAGGCCTAAATATTCACCGTAACGGCCTGATAGGCATTGTTGACAAGGATATCGAGTTGTCCATTATTTTCCCTGTCGATTTGCTCGAAAAGTTCCCGGACGGCCTCCATGTCGCCATGGTCCACGTAGACGGCGATGCCTTTTCCGCCTCTTTCGGTGATTTCTTAATAAGGGAATTTTTTTGAAATTTCTGCTCGAAATGGTGGATAATGGCCGCTGAAAAGGAGAGGCTTGAAAAAAGCCACGGGAAGGTCGCAAAAGGGCAGCAAAATTGGCGCAAAAAGGCCTCAAAAAGGCAGCAAAAAGGACGCAGCAAGGCTCAGAAAAGGCCGTAAATTTGGCGCAAAAAGGATGCAAAATTGGCGCAAAAAAGCCGCAGAAAGGTTTAAAAAAGGGCGCACAAAGGTCGCAAAAAGGCAACAAAAAGGCCATAAAAAGGCCTCAGAAAGGCAGCAAAATTGGCGCAGAAAGGCCGCAGAAAGGCAGCAAAAAGGCAGCAGAAAGGCTGCAGAAAGGCTCAAAAAAGACGCGAAAAAGGTCCCATTATCGAGCCTTCCATTTTTCCAGAATTTTAAAAGCTCAAGGTGGAAAAAGGGAGCAAAAATGGTGCATAAAAGCCTATGAAATGGTGCGAAAAGGCCGTAAATTTGGCGCAAAAAGGTCGCAAAAAGGATGCAAAATTGGCGCAAAAAAGCCGCAGAAAGGCCTCAAAAAGGTCGCAAAAAGGCCGCAAAAAGGCAGAAAAAAGGCAGCAAAAAGGGTCCCATTATCGAATCTCCCTTTTTTCTAGAATTTTAAAGACTCAAGGTGGAAAAAGGGAGCAAAAATGGTGCATTAAATGGCGAAAAAAAGGAGCCTTTTTCCACCCTCACTGAAATAAGATTTAAAAAACCTTTGGCGGTTTCCTGCAGGCCACTCAGGCCTTTCGAGGTATTATCGCTGCTCTCCGGTTTTCTACCGGTCACGTAGACCGTGGCGCCGGCTTCGCCGAGTTGCAGGGCGATTCCTTTGCCTGGAATATTTGAATTTCTAGACGAAAAAGTAGCCTCAAAACTTGTTTTGGTGTATTTTTCTATTCTCTTAGTCTCCAGAGTGGTCCCTAGAGGGGCCCTTAGAGAGTACCCTCTAGGGAGCATTTTAACAACCCCTATAGGGACCACCAAAGCTTGCAAAAGTGGTCCCTATAGGGAACATTGTCATGAACTCTAAGCGAAGAAGCATTTCCATGGGAAAAATATGCGTTTTTTGAATGAAATTGAAAAATCCCTATAGGGGCCACTTGAGCTTCAGGGGCTCAGTGGTCAGACCCTAAATCCATATAGGGACCACCTTGATTTCACCCCTATAGGGATCGCTCTAAAATTCCCAAGGAAATGATAGAAAAATAATTTTCTGGGTTTTTTATAAGAAAATATCAAAATTATCAATTTTCAACATGTGAATAGTATACAAGAATAGTCATAGAAGCAAAATATTTATTTAATTTTGACCGAAAATAAAAAATTTCTCACCGATTCCTCTCGAAGCTCCAGTTACAACAGCAATACGGCCAGCCAACGCCATTTTTTCTTCTAAATTTTGAATTTTCAAAACGGAATATGTTTAAAAATCGTTGACAAAGTGTTGAGAAGTGCTTGAAACAACTATCAAGACTTTTTGAACCTTTAAATACCTTCGAAAGAATTTTTTAAAAGAATAAACGACTGGTTTTCGATTACAATTCAAAAAATGAAGAAATTTTCAACACACAAGAAGAAAAAAAATCCATGAAACTGAACGCAAGGCCGTCGAGTGGGAACAGAACAGCGGAAAATGAGAGAAGCAGACGGAAAAAAGGTCGAAGAACGCGAGAGTTTCGTCCCGTAAACAAGGGCTGATGCAACGATGTAGGCTAGAAAAGGGTAGCCAAACAATGTTCATTTCAAGGGTTCAAGCCATTTGTCAGCACCTTTTTTTGCTGCCCTTAAGAAATTGAGAAAAAAATGGGTTGGAAAACATAATTCTTCTCGGGAAACCCCCAATGAAAACACGTTCAAAATGATATTGTAAAGTTCAGAATCCCGTGAAAATCAGTTAGCGTGTTCAACTGAGTAAAGGAGCATGTTTCAAAACGGAAAAAAAAACATAGATGCGCCAAATTTGCTTCAAAATAGTACGAATTTTCATTTTGAAGTTATTTCAAGCAAGTTTCCTTTTTTTGCGATAAACACGCCATCAAATGAACAAAAGATGCATAACAATCCAGTTATACGTTGAGAAACACGCTTAAAGAATGAAAAGAAAAAAGAAATGAAAAAAAAATTCTTTGCGAAAATTTCAAATCGCGTAAATCGCGGCAGATGCGCGGTAGAGCAAACTTGCGGGTCAAAAGTTATTTTTTTTGCCATTTTTTTTCAACTTGATTTTTTTCAATTAAAATCGCTATTCATACGTTCAAAACTGTCGGACTTTCGCTAAATATTTTTTTATAGAACTTTAAAAAGTATTCACTCAAGGAAACTCTTTCGTGAATGCTTCTTTTTCTTTCCTTTCCCCTATGGCCGGTTTTCTGAAACAAAACAGTGTTTTTTTGCAGGATCGCCTGGTGCTACTGCAAAGTATTCTGTCTACGAAAAAAAAACGACACTTTTGCCATGGAATTTATGATGAACGAGTTCTTCGAGTTTCCCAGGAAGTTAGTTTTATATATTTATCTTTTTTTTTTTCAAAAAGTGAATAAAAGGTTAGAACTCAGCAACTTTCGTGACTTTAAAAGCTACTCAGAGCGATTTTCAATTAATTCAGTGGAATTTTCGTGAAAAGTAAGAGAAAGTGGGAAATAATTCTTTGAAAGTTTAAAAAATTTTGAAATTTTGATGAAACTATGCTGAAAGGTACTGTAGGAAACTATGATTCTAATCAGATTTTTTCAGTTCTGTGGACTGCTCTTTTTATCCAATGAAACACGATTCAAGTGGTTTAGTGGGAAATTTTCCTCGATGTAACAAAATTTGACTTAAAAGCTTTCAAATGCTTCAATAGAGCTCGATTTTCGAGAATAATTTATTAAAAACAAGCGGAAGCGATAGCCCAAGCGCGTGATTCAAGTAGTGTAGGGGAATACGGAAAGACAATAAATTAGTGGGAGAATCGGGTTTGGAAATTAGCCGGAGCAGACTCCGCAGGTGAGTGGGCACTGGGTGCGCATGAACTCGACGTAGCCGGTTCGGGTGCAGAGGGCGCGGTTCTGTGGGCATTCCGAGACGCCGGTAGCGGCGTTGACGCGGTCGACGCAGGCTGGAATTCAAGGATTTTCACTGAGAAGGGAGGAAAGATGACGAACTGGTGCTGGAGATGGTGCTGCTCAAAGTGCCGGCGACGGTCGAGCCGGTCGTGCTGCAGAATCCGCAGGTTCTTGGGCATTGCTCCTGGAAAGATGGGGAAATTGTAAGCTAAGAATATTTAGGAAGGTAACGTAGATTAAGGTCTGCATTTAATGATAAGGGGATCAGAAGGTTAGGCACATTTTAAGGGTAGTAGGATTGCCGACGTGGTTAAGGATCACAGAAGCACTGCTGTTTTTAGCTCCTGGTTATTTTTAGTATACTTGAAAGAATAACTAGATCGGTAAGAATCCTTTCTAAGCAAGAACAAGGTCTTCTAGGGTGACTATGATGAATCTGAATTTCCGAATAACACTCACAGTCATGAGAGTACGGTAGACAGAGTTGGTGCAAAGGGCGGCACGGGCAGCACAGTCCGAAACTCCAGTTCTCGGGTTGACCTTGTCAACGCAGCTCGTGCTGCTACGGGTGGTCGAGGAAGACGTCGAGTTGCATCGGCCGCAAGTTCTGGGGCATTGGACCGTCATGAGGGTCGAGTAGGTGGCGTCGTTGCAGAGAGCGGCGCGAGCTGGGCAGTCTGACACGCCCGTAGATGGGTTGACACGGTCGACGCAGGTGCCTGAAGATGATATTTCATTGAAACTTGAGTTCCAAATCGATACCAGTAGAAGTGGAAGTGGTGCTGCAACGGCCGCAAGTTCTGGGGCACTGGACGGTCATCAGACTGAAGTAGGTGGAGTCGTTGCAGAGGTAGGCCATCGCAGCGCAGTCCGACCTTCCAGTTGACGGGTTGACCCGGTCGACGCAGGCTGAGATGAGGGATTAACGAATGTAATTGGATATGCTCTTACTGGAGGTGGTGACCGTGCGTGAGGTGACTGCGGTCACGCCGTTGACCGTAACCGTCGATCCATCGGCATTGGTGATTGTGGCTTGAGTTGTGAGTGAGCCGGCGGCGGTGGCTGGAAGGTCGGATTTTTAGTAAAAAATGGTTCATATTATTCAAGGATGTTATCAGGATGGGGGCACCGTAGCGCAACATGTTGTGTTCCTGTCTATGGTCCATAGGGTCACAAGTTCGACCTCGACAAGGGGTTTAAGAAATGACGTCAGTGGGAAGCCACGACTTCGACACAAGGACGGATATGTCACTAGAGCCGGTCCGCTGATCATTACTGATATCAGGATAGGAGCTCGACTTATCGACTTGGGGCGCCGCTTAAGCGGTACAAAAGCGAAGAATGATACTATAGCCGATTCACGGCTAACTTAGGACGCTGTCCAACCAGGCACTATCTATTTTACTATCGTGCCAGGACCCATTTTTCGATGGCTCAAGATAGCCGTAAATCAGCTATATGAGGATGGAGATCCAATGTTCAAAAGGATCTGTGTCAAAGGCTTGGAAGCTCAAACAAGGTCTCGAATAAGTAGACTTACTGAGAAGCGCGTCCTCTGGGCAGCAGTTTTCCCCAGCGAGATCGCAAACGCTACCGCCCGGACAGGGAAGGCCAGCGATACAAGCTGAAAATCGTTATTCAGCTTGAAAAGTGAAGAACAAGCAGAATAAGGACATCAAGAACTAACGAGCAATAGCATCGTCAATGCTGCAACTCTGGGCAGCGGCCGAGGAAAGGAAGGAGACGAGAAGGACAAGTCGGAACATGCTTGGATGTACTGATGGATACTATCCGCCATCTCAGGGCCCCTTTTATACCGCCGAGCCAGTTGCACAAACAGGGCCTCATTGGCTAGCACGCATTACATTTTTGTTTCCCATTGTGTCCGCAACTTGGTTTGTTTTCTCTTCTCCGTTGTCCAGCAGCAGGGAATTTCGACGTGGACTCCCGATGCTTATTTTGGCTTTTTTTTTTGTCCTTTTTTGGATCGAGAGCGAGGAATTGATCCATAAGGACAGAAAACCAAGAAGTTGCAAGAAGGAGAAGCCTAGAGACTTTGCTGGAAATCGCCCCCCCCTTGAACTTTTGCTGAAACTTTGCTGAAGTGTACTTTAAGACCCCTTTACCGCGCAAAATAAAAAAATTTCTGGTTCTCGATTTATGGTTCAAAGACCGCAAACTAAGCAAATTTTAATAAAAAAAGCACTATTTTTGAGCTTTTTTGAAGTGTCCCATCTCGAAAAACCAGATCTATTGCGAGAATTTTTTTCTGCAATTAGAAGGTCCCAAAATACTATACACTTTGGCAAAGTTTCATCAAAAGTTTAAAATTTAACGAGGGGGGTGAAACGTTCTCTAGTGAGTTTTTTTTTTCAAGCTTTTTCTCATTTTAAATATCATTTTCATTTCACAACATTATAACTCTAAAATTGGAAGATCATCCAAAGCAACGAAAATTTTTATCTTTCTAGAGTCTTTTTTTTTTTCCAATCTTTAAAGTTTTTTTTTCCGAAGATCTAACGCATCGAATTATACATTGCGCGTCATAATTATAGGCACACCCCATTTTTGTAATTTTCAAAAAATATGTTCAAATTTCTGCAATGAAACCAATTCAAGGATCAACCTTAGTTAAAATTAATCAAATTGGAAAGAAAATTACAGAAACTTCAGTTTCCGAAAAAGAAGAAGTAAATATGCAGAAATGAATCGGATATCGTCTCGAGAAATTTCGAGATAAGAAAAAAAATTTTTTGGTAGGCAGAAATGGCGCAGTATATAAAGTTTCGGTCGTGACGAAACATACCGATGTTGATACCATATTATGAAGCTTATAAATAGGGGTAGCGCAGTAGGTTGTGTGCCTGTCTACGGTTAACAGGGTCACAAGTTCGATCATCGTCTCGACCCAACCTGAGAAATATTGTGGACTTCAAAAATCCCCAGCCGTCACAGAAAAAAAAAAAACGGACATGTCACTAGAGCCACTCCACTGATTATCACTAATGTCAGGACTTCGGCTTATCGACTACATAGAGGCGTAGGAAGAAAAAGAAAAAGACTGTCGGAAGGCTCCCTTCTTGAAGTTGTAGAGAAGTTTCTACTTCTGAAAAGTCAGTCCAACATAGAATTTTGATGTGGCGATACGGCTAGGAAGTAATATTTCACACCTCTCAAGAACAAAGTCAAAACATACCAAGCTTATATAGAACCTGCGCTCTTATACGGATCAGAAGTCTGGACCCCCAAGAAAACAGAGATGAACATGTTAGCGACAGCGCATGAGAAGAATGCTTGGTGTTATTTTAATGGATAGAAGACCAAACAGTTGGCTCCACGAAAGGTTGAAGATGCGTGATGCTCGAATGGTTTCAACAAGAAGAAAGTGGTTCTTCGCAAAGAAAATCGTGGGCGACGAAGATCGTAGAACGGCGGCCCTGGGAGAAAAAAGATCTGTTGGACGATCACGAGCACGTTGGCGAGATGAATTCCGAAGCGTTCTTGGAGAAAATTGGTCGACCGTTGCGCGCAACAACAAGGAGCTCTTCAAATCTACCATGATTCAGCAGAGCCTTTTTGATTTCTCTGATGTCTGAATAAATTTGGGCGCGCCGTAGCGCAACAGGTTGTGTGCCTGCCTTCGGTCCACAGGGTCACAAGTTCGATCCCCGCCTCGACCCAACCAAGGGGTTTAAGAAATGTTGGTAGTGGGAAACCACGATTTCATAATCCCCAGCCGTCACACACAAGGACGGATATGTCACTGGAGCCAGTCCATTGATATCAGGATAGGACCTCGGCTAATCGACCGCTCAAGCGGTATAAAGGCGTAAGAAGAAGAAGAAGAAGAAGATGTCTGAATATATTGAATTGAATTGAATATTTCTAGTAGACTTTTTCATCAGTTTATCATACTTGACATGTGTTTTTGGGAGCTCCAAAGGTCCTCAAACTTTGATGAACGAAAATTCGAGTTTGGAAGTTATTTCTTTTACCTGACAAGTTTGAAGGTTGACTTCAATTCAATTTCAATTTATTCAGTCTTCAGAGTAAGATGAAGAAAATCTCTGCTGAATCATGGTATAATCGAAGGTTTAGTCATCGGAGCGGGTTGCGGTCCACAATCGTTGTCCAATACGTCTCGGAGTGACAGCTAGCGTTGGGAAATAATGTGGGCCCGCTGGTAGTACCAGCGAATAAACTGCTTCACCATTTTGGAACAGTACGGAGCCCAGCTTGTCCAGGGCTGATGGGCTTCGGAATATTATCCCATGAGAGAGCGGCAATAAGACCGACCAGTCGACGTGATGAAATGAGAAAATAAGGTTGACTTATAGGTCATTTTTTAAAATTTAGAATGAACTTCCTGATTTTAAGCTTATCACAATCGAGTTTATAGCAACCTAATAAAAGTTTTGGATCCTTCTGAAGTCACAGAAGAAGTTGAAGCCAAGGCAAGGGAACTGATGACAACCTGACAAGAAGGTCATTTTACTTTGTAATTGGGAACTTTCTGAAAGTCTGCCAGAATATTCCTTGATGTACCTAAAGATAGGGACCGCAGACGAACTTTCAAAAAATTTTTTTCAGCATTGAGCTTTGTATGGTTTGATAGCTGTTTCGATTCCAAACTCAGAACCGTTCAGTTTTTCGAAAAAGATTGAGGATGAAAAAAGTTATGACGAAAAATGTGGCGCGCCGCGCACCATTTTTTTAGTACTGAAATTTTGGTATTATCCATTTTGAAATTTTTCTCGATTTTTCTTCTAGAACAAGTTTTGATACTGGTCTATTATGATGTAACAAATCATAATAGAGTGCTGAAATGATGCTCATCAGCTAGTTTGCCGAAAAAGTCGGTATTTTCCAGAAAACAAAAAACTGACGCTTGCGGGCATCGAACTCGCGACCTCAAAATGAAGAATCGCAGCGCACGCGCTGCGCCAAGCTGTTAGGTCTAGCGACGGGAGCTTCCATCCGCCATACCCTTGAGCTGTTTGAATAGCACAGATTGCCTATTTCAAAAATTAAAACTTGAAGTAATTCAGCTATTTTTATCAGAATATGTTCGCAAATCTTCACTCAAACTTTCCGTGAAAATTCACTTCGAAAAAACTGTTTTTTTAGTGCTTTTTTTGCCTCGTTTAACGATCGCTGCCTTAAAACGGCCACGTAATTTTTTTGGCAAAGAGGAATTTTTTTATTTTATTCTTTTGATTGAAAGATTTTTTTACTAATAAATGTATATAATCGTTTAAAAAAACCTGCGTTCGACCGCTTTCTGTGTGATAAACGCCGCTAATTTTATTCTCTATTTTTCAAGTGCATTTTTTTGTGTATTAAACAACTTTTTTTCAAGCACATATTCTGTGGAGAAATATTCAAGTAAGCCCATGATCTAAATTTTTGAAAAAAAGAAAAAAACTCGATTATATTTGCATATTAACGATATTTTTGAATTACGACTTTCGGCACTCCCTAAAAATTTTTTTGGCAAAGACGAATTTTTTTATTTTATTGTTTTAAAATTACCGTTACTTGAATCAAAACCATTATTTAAAAAAAGAAAGAGTGCGTTCGACCTGAAAACACATGAAAAAGCAAAAAATGACAAAATTTTTTTAGTTCTATTCACGTTTTTGTACGACATTCCGCGAGAACGCATCAAAAAAGCGTGAAATATTTTTTAAACGAAAGAGGAAGCTTTTCTGTACATGTGTGTCAAAATTTATTATCCAGTTCTACATATTTTGCAACTACAACAAAATGAAAGTTGAAAACCAAAAAAAAGCCACTTTTTCTATCGCGAAAAGGGGCGTGGCTTTGCGGTCCCTACCTAAAGACGATTCTGAAAGTGTCAACCTGCACAATTTCCTAGTTTTTGAGATAGAGCACCTCGAGTTCCATTAAAAGAGGCCATTTTTGAAGCTTTGAGCTCTTATTTCTCGAAAACTAGGAAGTTTTACAAGTTGAGGCTTCCAGGATAATGTTCAGATACATAAAGAAATTTTCCGGCAAGTTTTCAGGAAATTCCAAAAGTAAAATGACTTCCTTGTGAGACCCTTTTCCTCAAGCTCAAAGCTCCTCCGATCGCAAATCGATTGACCAAAGGCCAAGAGTGTTCGGATCGCATCAACGGGCCCGATGCATGATAAATAAACAAGAAAAGCGAGAGGATCTTTTGCAAGATCTGTCATGTTGATCTGAAGGGGCCGCCCCGGAGCCTCCCTGGGGGGAAAAGTGCGACGGCCATTTCGAAACTTTTTCTTTTTCAATTTCCTTTCGCTGTTGATCTCCGGTCAAGGCAGACTTTCAAAAAAGCTTGAAGTTTTTCTTTTTTTTATACTTTGACTGTCTTTGAGAAGCTTAATCACACACCTTCTGATCAGGGGCCGGCCCATCACCCTATCGGCTTTTATTCTGAGCCCGGCCTAAGCCCGCGCAGGCTTTTTCTCAAAAATGCCGGGCCGGCCCGGGCCTGACCGCCCAGCCTGACATACAAGCCTGCTTTCAGTGAACTTTTATAGAGATTTTTCTAAATTAAAAAAAAAATTTTTTTTTTCCATATTGTTGAAGTTTGGTTGGAGCGAAGCTTGAAAAGCTTAATTTTTTCAATTTTATCTTCTACCAAGGCTATTTTTTTGGCGTTTTTAAAAGTTTGAGTCCACTTACTAATGAATAATAAATTTTTTTATCAGAAAAAAATTAAATTTTTTTACCCCTTTTTTTCTGAAGTTCAATTTTTCATTATAAAAAGTTTGAAATC